CTGACACCCAGTAAATATCCAATTCCTTCATCCAGATAAGTTAAAAACAGATTAAACATAATTTAAAAACACTCCAAAAAAATAATCAAACAAAAAATTTGGGGTAAATCTGAGTAGTTAAACAGAATAGGCAAACCTAAGGTATGGTGCTCTTACTAAAATATGGCTGTTACTGGGACACTAAGTGGACCATAAGTGACCTTCCTAATTTGCCACTCATTATTTTGGTTACGATTTCCAGAAAAACAGGAAAATATACAAGGAGAAAATATACGAAACAGACTTTAAGGAGGTCCTGAAATTTTAATATTCCCATATTTCGAGGAGGATGTCAGGTATTGGTACACTATCAGCTATAGGTGCTTTTATTCTATATTAATCGATTCTTGTTTTGCAAAGAGTTACGAAAATATTGAAATACATCCCTCTCAATTGTTTCATTAGATTCATTTATGTAGTCCCCAGGCGCTCCCACGTCTCCAGTTGCTATGCCGAGTTGAAGTGGCTCTATCCAGTCTTCCGACGGCAATACTTCCTAGGTGTATTCCTTTTTCGAATCTTTTCAATCAAAAAACCCACAAACCTTCTCAATTTTTTTACTATTTGTTCTACTGCCCATTCGTTGAACACGAGATCCCAACCCTCAAACCTGTTTATTCTTTATCATAGAACTGTTTCCTTTAAAAAATCATTTGTCATACGTGCAACCTGGTTTTGGAATTCCCTACAAACCTCCATACGCAAATCCTCATCCTTGACCTCATTTAATCATAATTTATCTATCCATCTCCTCAGCAATCAATCTTTCAAATATGTGTAAAATAATTTTCACGTTTTTCAGACCTGTCAATCATATTTAATGTTATGCTACAGATAATTATATATCATCCACATTATTAACGTGTACAAATATGTGAACTCGCACATCAGAATTTATCTATAATTTCATATATCTACCAGGGCCTTTTCTTTATTTTAATTTTTAATTTTAGATCTAGATAACATTGTAATTTAATTTATTCCTAATTATTTCTAATGCCAGACAATTGTCATTAAATTATACATTGTAGTTATTCTAAGGGAACTTAGTCCCAGAATAACATTTATTTTTCTTCTTCTTCTTCTCCATCCTTTTGTAAACCTTTAAGTCTCAAAACATCCTTCTTTTTACATATTTAAAATTTTCTTTATTTTAATTGATATTTAAAATGCATCATTAATTTGATGAGTAATTATTTTACCGTAGAAAAAATTGGCAACAGAGTGGAATCGACTAAGAGAGAAGATAATATTGTTTTATCAGTGTATAATTGCTTATAAATGGTACAAAGACAATTGGACCGTAATAGAGATAGGTTAAAGAGAAAAGTGAGATCCCCCCCCCCTCCGTCACTAAACTACCATGAATAAAGAGTTATGCCAGGAGAGGATTGAGCAATTCATTTGTCGTACTTGGACATGCTTCAATTCATTCTGAAACAGTCCCCTGTAATCCTATCATTGTGAAACTTTTCAACTCTCTCTTTCTCAATATTTCCCTTTACTGTCAAATCATTATTATTTTACTGTCTTACCAATAATTACTGCTGAATATCTTTTTAATGACTGAGAAAGCTATTTCAGTGGATATATATACTTTAAGACGAAAAAAAAAACAGTCTATTTTAAGATAAAATATGAGAGCTAACAGTTGTTAAAACTGTTCAAGCATTATTAGCAAACAATACGTAGTGAATTGGGCCCCCAAAAAAATTTTTTTTTTCTTAATGATATTTTTTCTTAAATTTCTCGGGAATTTAGTACATGAACAAAAATTGAAAGGACATTAATTAGAAAATTATTGGAAAATTTCATCAAAATCGTTAGAGCTGTTTTGCGTTACATTCTATAGAAAAATAAGTTTTTCACTTATTGCGCAGCCGCTATTTAGCAGGCAGCAACCAAGTTGTATCACAGGCATCTGTAACCAAAACCCTACCAAATAAAAAAAAAAGCAACAAAATTGGTTCACTAGTTACCGAGATAATCTTGCCACAGGCAGACAGACCAATGGCTAAAAATGTGTTTTTCGGACTCAGAGGGCTCTGAAACGTACAGATCAGTCGAAAACCGCACATTCGGAAATTTTCTCCGATCGCAATATTTTCTTTAACTAGTATAGGCAGGAAAGTAATACAAAATAAATACCTACCTACTGAATTATAGAATTTCAAAACTGAAATAAATATAGACAGAAAGAACGGGCGGATCTAGGGGGGGGGGAGGCTTTCGGGCTGAAGCCCTCCCCCCAAAATGGTAAAATATATTAAAAGATTATCTCTTAAAGTATTATTGTTCGTGTAATTACATTTAAAAGGACCTAAAGAATCATTTAAACATAATTTCATATAGGTAGTTAGTTTCTTTCTTTTTTTCCAAAGTAATTATCGTCATTTTTATGAAGAAAAAAAAAAAGCTTACAGGCTGAAGCTCCTCCCCCAAAAATTAAATCCTGGATCCGCTAGTGATAGAAAGTAAACTGAATATAATTAAAGAAAACAGAAATGACATGAACCAGGAGGTCACGCAAAGACTTGTTGCCCCAAATGATAATGTAAAGATGTTATTATTTTCGTTCACTAAACTTCTTCTGTAAAAAGTATAAACATTTTACACTTTATCTGTCACAACCGTTTCTGCCATACGTTTGAGAATCACGAATTATAATGAAGACCTGCGAGAGAAAAATAATAGTTTTGAAAGAAAGATACTGCGAAACATATTTGGCTCAGTAAAGTAAATTAATGAATGGGGAATAAGGGACACGAGCTAGCCAACTTACATAAGATACAAGAGGTGATGAAATATATTCGGATAGCAAGACAAAGATGGGCGGGCCAGGTTGGATGAATGAAAGAGACCACAAAATAGTGCTGATGCTAATTCTTGGAATCATAACACATGGATGGCAGCTCTGGACAGAGAAAAGTGAATAACGTTTCTTATCAAAACCTCAAGTGATGGATTGTGGAGCTCCAATGATAATGAAATTGAGAATTAACAACACTGAGGTTACATCCCAGCTGATCCATCTACTCCCTAACCCTAAGAAACTGCTGAGATATCAGTGATTTAATCGGTATGTTCCATGGTTTCTAATGATGAGTTCAGGAACAGTCTGATAGATTTCTGATGCCATCGATGAGCTCATTCCTGAGCTTAGAAACTTTCTCTATCTAACTTGTCTATCAGATCCTGGATCTGTTACTATGGAGTGAACCATTTGAACAATTCAAAATTATAAATTCAAGGTTGAATAATACAATGTTGAATTTGTTTTATTATTATTAATAAAACAAAAAAAACATAATTTACAAATGACAAACATGTAATAGGAAAACAATCAACTTTCACTTCTTTGCCTCATTATTAATGTCTGATCATAATTTTCTTCAGTAGACTTGGATTATCAAATCTTGAACCATCATGATTATACTGAAATGAACAGTTTTGCTTAACTTTGTAAGATATTTGTAGTCCATAGTAATTTCCACAATAGTAGATTTCTTATATTTTTGTACGGGGAGAGAGGAGAATTGTCAAAGTACATGGGCTTATGGTAATTTTAGTAGTCGATCATTTTTTCCTGGTGTTTATAAGTTTAAGTTTTTGTAACTTCTGTTGCTTACTCAATAAACTGTACTTAGTAATATCTGATTATTTTTTTTAATAGATACTGGAAGAAGTATCATCAGAATTTGTTGAATAACATAATTCTGTTATCATAATAATAGACAGATAAAGGTATAGTATAACAGTATTGCAAGAAAGTGTGAAATTGAAGAGACAGAGAATAAAAACACATAAATCACAATAACTTTGGGTCACTTTGAAAATCTGTTGCTCCAATATCATCCTAATCTCCATCCAAAATTTCAAACATACCTTCACAGTAATAATAATTCGAAGACCAAAATTACCCTGCTTTTCTATAACCACAATATGCTTTAAAATCCAATTTTCTTTTGCATGAAATGTTATTATATGAATTTATGTTATGAAATATAGCATCTGCAACTACAATTTAGTGGTTTCTGTGCATCATTGGATATTCCAGAAACTGGTCAATCAATATCACATGATACGGTGGCAAGGAGGTTAAGATGGGCAGGACATGTAGCTCAGAGCAATTCATTTGAAAGCCTCTACACACAACAATAAATGCCTCAATAGAAGGCATAAGAGCATGTGAAAGACCAAAACAGGTGAAAAAGGAAAACTTAAACTAGGTCAGGTTAGTTAGTATAACTATTGTTGAAAAACAAAGTTTTGAAAATATTTTGGAAAGAAACATGGCAAATGTAATACAGATGGCTGGGTTTTTCCAGAGAGTTGTGTCAAATGCTATAATGGTATGATCAAATCAATGAAGAGGAACATTAAAATCTGTGTAACAAAAGTTGTTATTTTAAAAGATTTAGAGTATTAGTTGAGAATTAATATAGCATGATCAATTTTATTTGTCAGAATGTAAAGGATCAAGCTAAATATAGATAAAGGTCCAATAAACATAAATATACTCACCAGACATTTGTAATTGTACGAGCAGTAAAACTTGCTTTAAAAAAAACAATTAATACTGAATCCTAGACTCAGCATTGGTCATATGAAGAAATCATAATTAATTTAATCACAATTCTAAAATAATACGACAGCCAAATAAATCTATACATAATAGGATGCCACCTATAAGTTATCTGAAGACTTGTTAAAATTTTTTTTCAAATATTTAAAATTTTTCTGACTATTCTGCTTGCCTTTCCTAGCACACCAAGAGACAATTCAAGTCATCGGAGCCTGCTACCGTTGTGTTATTAGTATTTATGTATCTATTGCATTCCCTTAATTTTTTTTTCAATTATTATTTTATTCAGTTAGAACCACAAGATTAATTATTCATCTTTGCTCATGTGTATGAACATAAAAAATGTAGAAAGATAATAGAGAAATAAACACCAATAATTATATTAAAACATGGATGTATTTATTACAACACAAAATGTTACATCTTCTCTGAATCAAAATTATCTTATTTACTGAAAGGTCACTCCAAGTTAATACCATTATATGTATAAATACGATTAAAACAAAGAGTTACAAAGCCATGGCTAACCATCATATCCAATGATTAAGTTCTTTTATGAAGGGGTAAATTATCCCAGTCATTTAGGGAAAAACTTTCTTAATTTAGTTTAGCTTTACACAAATATCCTCGCCTTGGTTGATCCCATAGTGCAGTTCATTGCAAACTTGGTAGGCCCAGGGCATGTGCTTTGTAGAAAAATATATTCCAACCTCACCCTTATTGCTGACTATTATCGCACCAACCATGATTGGTTTCTGCAATCTCTTTGTCATGTGTTCACATGTAGCTGCTGCGGCTTCCCCGGCAGATTTCCCTGATTAATATAGTTACAGTTAGAATAATATGTATCTGGTTAGTGAGCAAAAGAAATGAATAAGGGTTTTACTAAAACAAAGCAGAAAATAGATTGAAGCGGTGCGTATAATAGATATTCTATGATACCTTCTTTCATCGACGACAATACCCGATGAGAAAAGTTGCATTGTAAGATGAGTTCACCATGTCCAGTCACAGATATAGCCCCAACCTCATCATCACTATACCCTCCACTTCCTCCAAAAAAAAAAAAAACAACATTATTATTAGGTGGCTCATGAGTTGAATAAAACATTGATCATAAAATTCTTTATTCTTAAAGTTGTTCATTTAATTAAGTAATCATTTAGTCCTAATTTTAATGCTTATAATTGTGAGTTGAAAAAGAAACAAAGTTTGCTTTAATAATATTCACATTTCTCTGGGCTCTAACAGTTCCATCCAAAAATAATAAAATTAATTTATCAAAAATAATACCTCATATATCATGTCAAACTTCAATATTTCTCAAGCTTATTTCAATATTTTTTTTTACATTTTTTAAACATATTCAATTTTAAATATAAAATTATTTGTTTTAAAGATAGTTCTCATGGCATTCTAAAGATATTTTATTATTTCAATATTATTTTAAATAAATATACCAACTCATTATTTATTTTATTAATACAAATGATTAACATTACGTAAGTGTATTATAATTTTTACAAAAACTATTTCGATTAATCACCAACAGAATGAGATGTTCAATCTAATAATTCATAAAATTATATGATTTGAAAAACTTGAAAGTTTTTTTTTGACCACTTTAATTTAATAATAATAAGTTTTTTTTCTTACTTGAAGGTCCACTAGTTTTTATTAAAAATTTTATTAAGAAGAATTAATCAGGTATTCATATTATTGTTGTCAGTTTTTATTTGCTTGATATTTGGGACATTTTTTGTTCCTCATTTTCAAAAGCATATTATCTAATAATTCACTCTCCATATTATTGTAGAATCTTATTATACATTATTATTCTCATCATTTGAAAAACTATAATTTGAAAATAATTGCATCAGACAACCTACTACACCATAGTAGTATACATCATTGAATATAATCTATGGTGTACTAGATTATATAAGACAGTTTTTGAAAAGAAAACTTCCTTAGGCATGTTTTGCACTTTTTTTTGTGGAGAGTGAATTAGATTGAGCCATCAGATCTCCGATGAGTAACGCTCAGGTAAAGTAGGCTGGAGTCATTGAATTGTTTTTTGGATTAAAATATCTGAGAAACTCTAAATTGGACCTGCATACCGTAAGAAAGGGTATTGTTCAGTATTTCATGCTCTTTGTAATGGGCCATTATTCAAAATTTTATCTTAACTGATCTACTACTAATAATAATATGAAATCTGATTAATTATTCCTAATTCAATTTATTATAACAGTTAAATTTTTAACAACACAATGACAATTTAATTTTTTGGATGAAACTAAACTTCATTAATTAATATATTTTTATTAGCTTGAAAAATACAATAAAACATTAACGTTTCATGGATATAATTCTTGTCTTAAAATAAAATTTGTAATGACATATTTCTTTTCCCATATAATTCTACTAGTCAAATTATATCATTAAAAAAAATATCTCAAAATATTTTCAATAGTACAGTTTTGTCACATTCTATATATTTTAAATTATCTCACTGGATTATCTTATAATAATTTTGATCTAAACTTATATTTTGAATTAAAAGTAAAAGAAATCAAAAGTTCAATTATACAATAATAATAAAGTTAATAAGGGCGGAATGAGAGGACAGATATGTCTAAAATATTTAAAATTTATTTTATACAAACCTGGAATTGGTGAGTCTCCAATCCTTCCTTTGTATTTGCCTGTGAGACCACCAGAAGAGGTTCCAGAAGCGACATGGCCACACATATCAACAGCTACGCACCCAACAGTATCTCCGCTACCTGGCCTATTGATCAAAAATAAACAAAAAAAACGTATTTAAAATAAAATAAAACATTTTAAAATAGTTTGTACATATTTAAGTAGTATAATTGAAATAACATTTTGTTTTTTGCAGATAAATGCTTTTCAAGAAATTTTCTTTATCATAGTTCTTTCCCTGACCACAATTTTTATTATGACGCAAATAATGAAGTCATAATGTTAGCCTATATTTGGACCAGAATCATTCAATTTTAATTAAAATAATATGAACAACTAATAATGAAAATAATTTAAACTTTGAATAATAATTTGAACGATCAAAAAGGTTTAAAACCAATTAAACTTCAAAAAGGTATCGTCTGCTATGAACACCAATTTTTTTGTTTGAAGGAATTTTTACTTAAAGTGAAAATACAATAAATATAATCTCAAAAAATATATCCGTAACCATTTACTTTATCCAAGAAATGTATAGGAATTTATATATTAATTTTAAAGTACTTTAATATTGTTCTGAACAATCTTTGTGAAAAACCTAATAGTTTCTTAGATATTCTCAAAAAACTAAAAAAGTATCAGTTTTCTGTCCTTTCTCTCTCCCCCAATCAAAACTCGACACAGGATTCTTAGGGACTTTTTACCAGAGGGTAATATACAATTTCTGACAAGTTTCATCTTTATTTTTTTTAATGTTGGGGTCAATTTTACTAATTTTACTGGACTATAGGGAAAATAGCTCAAGATAGATAGATATCTTCGAAGTAAAAATTCTTTAATCAAGCACTTAATTATATAATTTTTTTATTATAACCGTATATATTACTTAGATACAATTTTATCATATTAAAAATTATCTGTAGAACTCAATATTCCATTATCTTAAATTACAATTTTTTTTTTATTTACATAAAGTGTTGTACATACTCTTCGAACTCAACAAATTTATGAGTTTTCTCAGTTAAAGACATCTGTTTAAATTTTTCTAAAGCTCTCATAGAATTTTGCGTAATGAGATAGCAGTCAGGAACCTTGGTAACACCCATTTTCTCAATGAAGTCCTGGACTCCATTGCCTCCTATTATAGCATGTGGAGAACATTCCATCACCATTCGCGCAAGGGAGATAGGATGAGCGATGTTTCTCGCTAAAGTAACACTCCCTAAAAGTTGGAGATTCATTAAAATTTTGAATAATTTACTTTGATAGAATCTAGTTTGAAATTCAACCTGAACTAAATGTTCTTCCTTCATTGATTTGTGCATCCATTTCCACTTCCCCATCTATGTTTAAAACTGCGCCTCTACCTATAAACTACAACAAATTAAACGCAGAAAAGGGAATGAAAATTGATTAAACTCAAAGAAAGTAAATGTAATGGTAACTTACACCTATAAAAATAAGATATATTTAAACCTTTTTCAGACATACAGAGTGTCCCATAAGTAGAGGGAATTTTTATAGCAGTGATAGCAGACCTTCATATAAACAACGGGCTAATTTTCAGATAAAAGTAGGAAATCCAAATTATATGTTTTTTTAAGTGCCATATTCTTTGTTAAATAGGAATGAATGAATGAATGAATGAATGAAAATAATTTTATTATTCTGGGACTAATGTCCCTTTAGAATAAGTCACAAATACAGAATATATATTAATATTTTGATGTGTCCATGAAATACAATTTAATATTTGCAGGTTGATTCGGAGTACAATAAAGTTTTAAATGATAAAAAGATATAAATACGAGTAAATATAAAATATACAGAGAAAGTAATTAAGTGAACGAAATATTGATTAATTACAAAATAATCAGAGTATCTGAGTGTACTTTGAGGTTTTTACAGCTTAGGTTTTTAAGTGCATTTCGTGATCAATCGGATTGGGAATGGAGTAGGTGTTCGAAGAGGAGAGATTTGAAAGAGGATATCGATTTTGTGTGTCGAATATCTGAAGGTATAGAGTTCCAGAGGGAGACAACTTGTATTAAAAAATGATTTATCAAATGCAGCAGTTCGGTGAGGAGGAGAATAGAGGTCGGACACACGGGATCTGGTGGGACGGGATTGAAAGGAGCGTTTCAATTGTAGGATCTGTAGAATATAGGCAGGTCCCCGTGTTGTAATGGCTCGGTATAGGAAGGTGGCAAGGAAATATTGACGGCGGTAGGAGGGATAAAGCCACTTTAACTTGATGTAGAACTTGGTAATATGCGTATCCTTTGAGATCCCGATGATAAATCGGGTTGAGCAATTCATTAAACGTTTAAGTTTGGCTTCGAGTTCTCCCGAGAGTCCACCATACACCATGCAGCCATAGTCGAAAGTCGAAATGGGAGAAAACAAGAGAGGAGACCAGGAGTTGACGGGTTTTGAACGGAAGAAGATAACGTAGATGGTTAAACTGTTTCAGGGTGGATATAGTATGACAGGAAATTTGGGAGATGTGTGGTTTTCAGGAGAGGCTTTGATCGAGGGTAATGCCTAGGTTTTTAATGGTGGTATGGAAGGAGATAGGTGAGTTGTTCAGAAGAAGATTAGGAGGTGTTGAAATGGATTTGAGGACTATACTCAAGGAATATACTTAGGAGAAACTGATAATTAAAGAAATATTTTATTTAAGTAATTAACAATTGTTTTGCTGTAAAGTAAACAAAATTTACTTTTAATAAAAAATAGAATTTATCATTATTAAATACATTTACAGAAAACTTTTGGGCGGTTAAACTAAGCTAAGTTCTGTTTTTAAAAATCATAAATTATTTAAGATTTTTTTTTATATCATTATCTGAGAATACTACAAATAACCAACTTTTAGAAAAACTTCTTCGTTTAATAAGCTTTAAGTTCCTATTAATTAAGCTGAGGTTTATTAGGTAAAAATTTGAAATTTACCTCAACTTGTGAAAGAAATGTGTATTATAATAAAAATAATTTCCTAAATAAATATTTTATTTATAAAAATAAAAAATTTTAAAATAAAGATTTTTCAAATATTTTTCATGTTTTTCTCCCAGATCTCTGTCATAGGAATTGATCTGTATTTATCAGTTACCAATGTAATGTTTACTGTTTTAACATTGATGTTTATACCTGCTGATTTATTTTTATTAAAATACCTCCAGGTTTATTGAAAAAGGAGAAATAAAAGCTATGCGACAGGCCACGCACAAACCATAATTTACACATAAAAGAAGTACACATCCCTTGATTTAACTCCATGAAATATTTAGGTCTAGAACTTGATGGGTCCCTAAATTTCAACCAACATATTAATAACAAGTGCTATAAAGCAAAAAACATGTCCAGCAAAATGTCACCATATTTCAATAGATATTCACAATTGAATATAAAAAATAAACTGATTTTATATAAAACAGTAATCCACCCTTTAATCATTTATTCTGTCCCAGTATGGAGTTACACATTCGAGAATAATTACAGAAAACTTGAAGTTATTCAAAATACATGTATGAGAATCATAAAAAATTACCATAATATCTATTATGCTGTCAGAGTTACAGCTTCCCACTATAAAACAATATGTTTATTTTAAAATACAGTGATTTTTTGAGCTAATACCAATGTCTGAAAACCCTATGATCCGAACAATAGGAAACTATGACAAGACATCTTTGAAACAGTATATTTCAATTGCATGGTATATAACTTATTAAATTGTAGATAAATATACATGAGTTTGTTCACACATTTATACAAATAGGCAATATAGATAATATCAATAAAATAACATCTGTAGTATACATGTATCTGTAGGATAACAGTAGAATGTGGGTGACAACTCTTACATATGAAAATTAAATTCTTACATATGTTCGGTAGATTGATTGCTGAGGAAATGGAAGAATGAATGGTGTTTAAATGAGATTAATGAAGAGGATTTGTGTATGGAGGTGGTTAAGGGATTCCCAAACAAGGTAGCAGGCATGGCAAAGGATTTTTTAAAGCAAACAGTTCTATGAGAAGGAATAAATAGCTTTAGGGGTTGGGATCTCGTGTTAAACGAATGGACAGAGGAACAAGGAGTAAACAAATCAAAAAGGTAAGATGGCTTTTTGATTATAAAGGTTCAGAAAAAAAATACACCTATGATATATTGCCGTCGGAAAACTGGATAGAGCCACTTCAACTCGGCATAGCAACTGGGGACGTGGGAGCACCTGGGGACTCCAAAGATGAAGCTAATGAAACAATTCATTCGTCTCTTCTTGTGACCTCAAGTCCACCAGACGAGCCATCGTAAACATGGCAGCAATCATCGAAATGGGGAAAAATGAGAGAGGAACAGATTGGTTTTAGTGGGCATAGAATCACGGAATCACATGAACTGTTCGAGGGTAGCTATAGATTTTCGGATTATTTGGGAAATGTGATTATTCCAGGAAAAGTGTTGATCAAAAAAATAGATTGAGGTAAGCAAGTTTACTACTATGGCAATGAATGATTTACTAAGGAAAATAATGATAGAAGTTCTTCATTGTACAAGAAAGACCTCATCTTCGATGCAATGACGATGTTGCTTGTGAACCCAGGTCCAGAAATGTTGAAAAAGGAGGTCAGATTTGACAACAAATCGCAAGGCCAATTTAAAAACAATAATAAATAAAGGTTAATTAAATAATCTCGTTCTATTCAAATGCTAAGAAATAAATAGATCTCAATATCAACCCAAAATGATGTTCTGAAACATAAATACCAGATTTACTGGGAATAACTACATAATAATCAAATATATGAACTGTTCATTGGTATAGAAATTATTCTATTAATAAAACATACCACCTTTATAAGTAAATAAAATCTGTTAAATGGATATCAATGGATCAATGGATATACAAGGTGCATATTACGAAGCGCTTCCAGATATCCAGTGGTTGGCAGACTAAGATCAAGATGGTCATATTGCCTTGAAATTGTGAAAAAAAAAAAAATGGTGGGAAACAATTTGATGGTGGTAGTTATATATAAATTCTAGCAGATTCATACTGGAGAAAGCCAAAACCTGCTTAATGAGTATGATAACACAATAATATATGAACTAATGAGAAATAATATGAAAATAAAAAATATCTGGTGTGTCCACTCACACGACTTTCCTACTTATTTCAGAAAAGTTTTTATATCTTTACATATTTTCATGAAGAAAAAAAAAAAAGAATTGAACTAGATTTGTTTTCCTGAAAATTGATCAAAGAGAAGATTTGAGTAAGATTTATTTGATAAACTAAAGCAATGTAAACCGGCTTAAGGTAGATCAGTGTAAAAATTTCAATACTTACTAATATTGCTGATCAAACAATAATTTCTGTTAAAAGTATAGGAAATAGTGAAGCTTGTGTGATGCGGACAACAGATTTTCTTACTTTCACTTAGTCTTCTTTTTTCTCTCATTCACACCTTTCTGACACCAGGATATGAACCCGTAATTTTACATTGGATACTGAATAGCTGTAACTTCGTTTATAGTTGTCCAAAATGAACGATTTTTATATAGTTTTATAGGGAATTTAATTACCTTTCAAAAGTTTTATTATAAATTTTACCGTATAATATACTTATAGAGTTAGGCCCCATAACATTTTTCTTTTCTTTATAACTTTTTTAATGATTTTTTTCGAGAATACAGTCTATATACGAAAATTGAAAGGACAATTATTACAGCATTATAGGAAAGTTTGACCAAAATCGTTAGAGCCGTTTTTGCGCTACAGTCTATAGAAAAACATGTTTTTCATTTATTGTGCGCAAGATATTGCGCATGGAGCACCAAATTTCTGTCACAGGCATCAGTAGTCAAAATCCTAAAAAATAAAAAAAGAAGCAACAAAATCGGTTCAGTAGTTCCCGAGAAAATCTTGGCACAGATAGACAGACCAATAGCTAAGAATGTGTTTTTCGGGCTCAAGGGGTCTCTGAAACGTACAGATCCGCATATCGGAAATTTGACCCGATTGCAATACTTTCCTTACCTAGTATAGGTAGGAAAGTATAAATAATTTAATTAAAAAAGAAAACCTACTACAGAAAATGAGGAATTCTGTCCTCCCTAACGGAATGTACTCCCTTATCTACTTAAACATCTTTGTATATTGATAGAGAAATTTACTTCTACGAATGATTTAACTTGGTGTAATAGTCGGATCTCTTCTAGCCCTTAACAAGACTCGGATGTTGACATGATGTTGAATTCTTAGCTAAAATTATTTCAAAACACTCACGGATCTCATCGAATAATTTAAGATATCAAATATAAAAATCGTTCCAGACTTACGCTTGAAAATTTGTTACATACCTCTTAGCAAATTGAATAAACACATTTTATTCAATCACTGATCACTGGTTTTATCAACGATTGTGTCAAAACTCTCTCACTGAATAATGTAAGATATCAAACTTAAAAATCGAATTAGAGTGCTACCAGTGGGTAGTTTCTCAACAAGCGTGTTTCATGTGATAATATTTCTCTTTACACATTTACTTGATGTATTCATACTAATACAGTTGTAAATATCATAATAAAAGTTAAAAAAAAAAATCGAAACAACCTTTCGCTCGAAACATCATTACATACACTTTAGTGGACACCCCAAACACATGACTCTCGTATCGTTTCGCTTTTTAAACAGACACAGGACCTCACCAAATAATAGAATACCCATATCGCTCGAAAAATCGTTACAAATCTTTTAGCAAACCGATTAAACTCATTCAATCACGGTTCATTATTTGTATCTCAAATTGTTTCAAAACACTCAGGAGATCTCACCGAACACATTAAGCCATCAAACTTAAAAATTGACCCAGCCGTTCGCTCAAAATAGCGTTACATAGCTTGTAGCGGAAGACCCAAACACATAATCCTCCTTTCGCTTCGGTTTATCGGGTAATAAATATATATATATATTTTTTTTTATTAAAGACATTTACAACTGTTATTAATAATAAATACAACCAGTAAATATGAACAAGTAACATGACATGTACAACATGAAGAGAAACTACCCATTGGTAGCACTCCAATTATATTTCTATATTAAAAGGTCCCGAGGCCATCTTCTTTTCAGACTTCTCGGAGGGTTATCAGAAATAGAAGAGGAAGCAATGTTGGAAACGAGAGGGTTCGGATGGTTCGGAAGTTTATTATTAAAGGACAGGTATCTGGATATGGTTCATTGAAGTCATTATGGATGATTTTATTTGTGACAAAGTAGGGAGCATGAAGGATTTTACGAAGGATTTTGGATTGTAGGGATTGGATACGACAGGAATTTGATGATTTAGTAGAGTCCCAAAGCTCGATCCCGTAAGTCCAAATAGGCCTTATTATAGTAATATATATGAGTCTTTTGTAAATAGTTGGCAGTTTAGAGCGTTTGTCTAGTAAGTGCTGGAGTAGTCGGAAACGTCGGGCGGTTTCTAGTCGTTTCAGTCTGGTATGGGGGTTCCAAGGGAGTCGTTTGTCAAGGTGGAGTCCTAGGTTTCAGATTTGGTCAACAGGGATAAGTGGGGTATTGTTAAAGGATACTGTAGGACAGGAAGTCATAGGTTTACGACGAAGAGTAAAGGCAATGGGTAATAAATATTAAAACATAAAAAACCAAAGACTTCCAAAACGTTTTTCAAAATATGTGAAATTGTGAAAAAAATTTCTCATTGTTAATTAACGAGAAATTAATAGTACTAAAACAGTGATTTGAACTAATAAAATAGTTTCATTATTGTTTATAAATATTTTGAGTAACATACCTGCATTAAACGCTGAGTTCATTTCCATTACACGTATAGCTGCTTCAACCGCATCTAGAACGCATCCCGTTTCAATTAACACTCGGTACCCTTCGCAAGCCGACTCCTTAACTCCATCCAATTTAACTTTTTTATCAGAGTCGGGAATGAATTCTGCTCCTCCATGAACCAAGAGAACAGGAGGTATCGTTGTTACACTACTTGTAGAAAAACATATAATTATAATAACATATCATGACATATCATATAGTTATTGCAATGGGAATGGAAAGAAACCTAGGAAGTAACAAAATACCATTCGATACTTTAAAATAAACAAAAACTTCCTTCCGTAAAAGACGGATGTGACTGAAATAGTTTAAAATATTGTATTATTTTTTACTTGACTTAGTTTTTCACTCCAGTTTACTTTTTAAAAAATATAACTATACATTGAATATTTTTACGAAGTAAATTACGTCAAACTGTTACGTATAAGAATTATGTCATTATCAAAACGTTTTCCATTTAAAAATTGCATATATATGAAATTTAATTGAAATCAATTTTGTATACAGATATATTTCATATAACACAAATGAAAATTAGTCTTCATATAAAAGTTAATACCACCTATCTCTAAACTCTATTCACTCAGCTTTATAAGGTTAAAAAAATTGTAATTTGGTTGCTAATGACCATATAATTTTGGCATATTTAAACCTCACAACGTTTTAGGAATATGGTGGTTATTATTCGATCAGGCATGAATCCAGCTAAATACCTTAATCATTTCAGTCAATAATTGAAGTACTAAAGTAAAATTTAAATTAAAAGTGAACAAGTAATGTATTCAGTTTAGAAGCTAGACTGGTTAAGCAGTTACTTCCTTGAACGGAAAGAAATGGACCCTACACTCTACAATTAGCTAGCCAGTGACGATCGCTCCAACCTTTAGGACACCAGGGTGGAATGAATAATAACTTAGTACTTGGTAAATGAATTTTTAATTTTTTTTCGTTAGTTAAAGTAAGGTCATGACAATAAAAGAAGCAAAAATTCTCAAATTTTTCTGATGAATATTTGCAAAGATAATTAGAGTAAAAGAAAAGTGGAGGAGGATAAGCTACGTCACAAGAAACGAGACAGGACTTTCAGATGCTGCCAGCCCCTGAATGAAACCGTTTTTTAATAATTGTTTACTTAAAATAGTGTTTCCAGCTTCAAATCTTCTATAAAATAATTTCCCGTTTTTTCTTTCACACTTTCGTCTCAAAAATATTTAATTTAAAATGTATTTTATTAGTTTTTATAAATGCATGCTTATAACGTAGAGCTAAAAGAATTGTGAGAGTATCGTGTATGGCAGCAGTCACGCTGAAGTGAACTCAGACCACAACCCCAGTCCTCGCCACACGCTCTATTCTCTCTCAACCGATCTGTTCAAGTTTGTATGTACATATGAACATTTTTTATTATATTAAAATAATAAAATGACTAATGAAAATCATTGGGGGACTGGATGAATGATGGGAAAGGTGAGATGTGGTTGGGGGTCCCCTTAAGCTTGTGTGACTGACCAAAACAGGACACCGTTAAAGAAATTCTACTATACCTCCTAGTATTGTAGCTAGATATATTCCTTTATAATGGAATTGTAATTTATACGACCGATATGTTCATGAATTTCATACTATAACAACTTTTTGGGGAGGCTGAGCTCCCACAAAGACAGCATTGGGGGGGGGGGAGGGGCTCCAAGCCTGCGAGCCCCTAATAGTCGGCGCCTATATTATTATATACATTCCTTCGGTATTATAGTAGATTGTATCGGATTATAGTTATTGGTGCCCCGAGGTACTCCCATGTCTCTCACCACTACACTGAGTTAAGTTGGCTCTACCCCTCCTTCCGAAGACAATACTTTCTAGGTACGTTCCTCTACCAAATCATCAACAACCATCGTCCTTCTTACGCCTACAACCTTCTCCAGTTCAAAACCTCAGTCCATTCCCTGTCCACAAGATCTCGACCTTCTGACCTTTACATGCCTTCTCACAAATCTGCCGCATTCCAAAATTCCTTTATTGTTCGCTCTGTCAATTTCTGGAATTCCCTCCCTATCAAAATTCGACATTCCCCCTCCATATCCACATTCAAATCCCTCCTATTCCAATTCCTATCACAAAAACAGTCAGATACTTGCTAACCATTCGAGCGGATTTTAATAGAGAATTTGATATATTTTTATTTTTTAATTCTTTATTTTTTTCGGAAAAGTGTATACTGGTCTAAATAGCTTTAAGTTTCTTGTAATAGTATTAATGGTTTTGTATATAGTTTAGTTTGTTTTGTATATAGAGTTTTTACCTTATATTTTTTTTACATTATTTCTTTTTTTCGATTTATTTTGTTTTGGCCAGATGTAATATTTTAATTTTGTTCTAATTTGTTATTCTCAAGGGACTGTGTCCCAGAATAAAGTTATTTTTCTATTTCTATTTCTATAGTACAAGTGTCATTCCACTATGATGGATGGTACAAGATCTCATGATCATAACATTAAAGGAGTCCCTAGAATGACCGAATATGTCCAAATGTTAATGGAAGTGACCGAACCATCAGGAAAGGCCACATTGGGGGTTTGTTTATTCCTTTAGAACTAGTGAACAGAAAGAAGCGATGTAATTAATGCTAATTATTTTTTAATGATAAGGACCAGTAGTTTGCCAAAGTTGAAAATCAGAATCAAATTAAAGGGGGGTTATACTGTGAACACATGCAAATTCTAATCTGTTCTCGAAATTTCATTTATGGGTATCATGGAATCTTGCCCCAGTCGTAAAATTGAAGAGGTATCTGTACAGTAGTACCCATTTTTATTATTTAAAAAGAGAAATCTAAATCTTATATACATTCTCCTCTTGCAGCTCAAGTTTACTCCATTTTTGTCGTACCGAAAGTACTTAATTGTAGAAAAGATAATTTTAAAGGTTCCACTGATCAAAACTCCCGTCCATTCAATTTCCATCATACCAGTATCACCCATCTGTTCTTGATTCATTATGCATGAAGAACTATTACTATTCTTCTCCTTCTTATTTTGCGTTCTTCCCTTAGATCGGGAACTAAAATGAAGAGTTCAGTAGTCCTACTAAGGTCCTTCAGGCTTCCATGAACCTCTGTTAGAGAGAGCCAGATCACTCTCCTTTACTGATAACAGATCATGTTTGCACTATATGCTTGGCATTCCGTTCACTCTCTCCGCTGAACAGGCCAAGGAGAGGAGATTTGCTACTGATCATACAAGAAAAATAAGAGCCTCCGAATCATACAATGCAATGTAGGAAAAAAAAATAGGACTCCTCCGAATAGGCTATGGACAAAATATACATACAGGAGAGCAATTTAAAATCCAAACTACGATTTAATGTAAAATTTAATGTAAATATCGATTTTTCAAGGAAAGATTGCGTTGGTCAAACTAAAAGATGGTATCCTCACGGTAATACGAAACTATCTCCTAGCTATGGATATACCTTTTATCATTAAAATATTGGTCCGAATCGGAGATAAACAATTGGTTGCAGAAAGTAGAACAAGCCATATTGGACGGAGGAACTAGATATACTAGAAAATAATGTATCGCAGTAGCCGGATGAGGCAGAGCGATATTTACCCTCAAAAGAACATTATACTAAAAGAAACAATTGTAAAATTATTACTATTTATTTTTACTTCTCATTTGAAGAAAAAAATTAATTATTAAATGTAAGCAGTGTAATCATATGTTCCTTAACACGTTAGCTGCGGTTATGGTCCCCGGGTTCCAATATTCGTCTCGATTCGGTCGGGGATTGTTTCGATTTTTTACCTAATTTACAAGTCTCTAAAATGATCATTTTTAAAAATATTTGATTGGGCGTTGGATAGACGTAAAGATAGATACAAACGTAAATAATCATTATATCTGATAGACGCGGGAGGCCGTAACTGCAGCTAACGTGTTTAGTTGAGCACCACATTCGGGCCGCACCGTATGGACGTACCCTTTAATGATGCCAGTTGAATTTATTTAACTTCTTGTCGATATCCATTTGGTCTAGTTATGCGTTACAAATGTAAATTAAAAAGTCAATTGAACAAATTCGAAAGTTTCTGGTCCTATATGAATTAATCACATTTTTAAACATGTTCTGAATTATACTTTAAGCAGACCCTACACGGTAATTCATGAATGAACGTCACAAGAAGTTCCAAGATTGCCCGCTATCGCTTTGATTATGAAGAGCCTTACACGTTCAATCATTACTGATCATTACTTATCGTTGCTGATTTAGGTTAGATCGTTGCTGACCAATTTAGCGCAGTTGTAAACAAAGAAACAGCATAGATATGCTTATTTCGACATTGTCATTTATAATATTGGGCATCAAGAGAAAAACGGAGATATAATAATTACTTCCTAATGCCTGAAAATCGTTTAGACCAAAGTTAGTCCAAAATATAAGTCAACTACATACAAAAATCTATGAATAGTATTGCGAAAATAATCAATTTGTTAAGAAAAATGGAAAAATTAATGGCAAATAAACACAACAGTTAAAGATTTTTTTTCTATAAGTAAATTGTGAAGTTTCCACTTTTTTCCTCTCCAACTTATTGCCTACTTGACTATTTAAAGAATAAATAGTTGAAAATGGTTAATAATAATAAAGACTGGGGATATAAACAACTATTTACTTTTATGAAATTATTTACTTAATAACGAGAACTAGGTAAACTAACCTATCTAGTAGTTAGGTTAGTCTCATAGAAAATCGTTTTGACAAAAGTTAGTAAAATGTAAGTCTACTACTTACAAAAATTAAGGAAAGGTATTGCGAAAATAATAAATTTGTTGAGGAAAATGGGAAAAGAACTGATAAATATACACGTTAAATTTTTTTTTTCCCTTTCAAGTAAATTGTGAAGTTTCCTAATTTTTTTTAATTTGTTGCCCACTTGACTATTTAAAAGATATAGTTGAAGATGGTTTAAAATTATAAACAAGGGATATGAAAAATTATTTAACTATTTACATATAATGAAAATCAGAAATTTATAATGGTTGTGAGAATAAGGTAACCTAGCCTATCCAGCAGTATGGTTAGTCTCCCCACTACTTTTCCTCTGTCCCCCCTCCACTTCTCTCGAATGAACCTTTGATTTCCGGATGTTCGGAAATCCGCAGAGCACCACCATCAGCACTTCATTCACTACCTTACACGACAATTCGGAACGTCATTAGTGCAATTCCGATTGACCGTGTAGGGTCCCCTTTATAGTCAAAATCAAAAAGTATACAAGAGTGAAATATACACTTTAGTAAGGTTCGGTTAGGTTAGGTTAGGCCAACGCATGGCGATCAGCTACGGCCATGTGTTGTAGTTTCATCGAGACCGAGTCGAAATAAGCCTGTGGTGCGATTTGAACGCGGTGCGGGTATGTATGCCCTAATCATTACATGTAAAGAGAAGCAACCATAATTAGTATTAAAATGAATACTTAATGGTGTTCTTTGTCGCACTTTAATTTCATGTATAAGTTTGAACCTTGTAACAATGCAACTGCAGGAATTACTTGGAGATAGAAGAAGACTTCTACTTCAAATTTATTCATATGGTTGTACACCTTATTAAAAAACAAGATACCAATATCAGGCTGTCGAGAAAGAATAGTTTCGTTATCAATAAAAATTTGATATAAAATATCTTTAGTTACGTCATAATTCTGTTCTTTGAATAAGCAGTTGTTTTATCCCTTCACTTGATGTCAGGGCATTCTTGCAATAATTTAAAATGAGAAATCTTCCATACCTAACAAATGATGCGAATGGACTCTTCCAAACGAACTAAGATTCACCATTATCGCACTATTCCACAATTTACCCAATCTATGGTCGGCTAGCGCGAAGGGATTTTCGAGATACGTGATGGATTTTCGGATCGCTGGAAACCCGAACACTCTTCATCACACCGAAAATTCCACTCATGTCCATTTAGTATATACATTCCATTTGGCATGAAACGATTGGATGGAAACGATCAACAAAGGCCATTCTTATCGTAACTACTACACTCTATTTGATAGAGACCTGCGAATCGTTCGGTAAAGATATTTCAATCCAGATGAGTTTAATTTCGTCAAAGGAATTTTAGGTATCAAGTTTAAAATCATAATGAAACTTAGGATCACATTTTTATCAGCTACAATTTTTGATCATTTAAATAAACTTTGCTTGATTGGTTAAAATACTACAAAAAGGTCAAGCCACATGATGATTTGTAAAATATTTATAATATAAAATTATTTGAAATATAAATAAAATATTTTGCATTTAATTTTTTTTTTTTATTATAATAAGTTTATTCAATATTTGATCATATATTTTCTTTTCTTTTTTGTTGTTTATGTTGGTTCACGATGATTTTTATTTTTTTCTGTTGGCATTACAGATCTTTTGCCGTCTTACCAAGCCTATTCCATATATAGCTACTTATTTCTAGTTATCTGCTTGCAATAATATTGCATCTTTGTTTATTCGATCTATCCATCTGATTTTTAGCCTTCTACGTGAACTTTTACTTAGAGAGAAATACTTTATTGAAAGCAGTGCTGCCCTACTACACAGGGTTGCTCGATACACAGCATACTCATCAATCCTTTTTTTGGACATACAAATTATATACAAATTCTTTTTCATATTATACAGCACAAACAATATCAATACTATAATATACCAATGCATACAATTAGAATAATACAATATATTATATATACATATTTCGGTGAAACCGATACAAGACAATGTCTAAAATTTATAGGGCTAAAAAAAAAAAAAGATGTAGTATTCGAATGCCAAAGTTTTAACAACAGAAAATTCGTATAGCATTCGTATAAATGCTTTCAAATGGATTGCTCCGAGTTATGTCTATCTTAACGTGCTTTCATATCATGCATTTTTGATTGACCAGCTTATATAAGCAACTATGTATTGGTCTTTCTTCTCCATGTGGAAGTACTCTGATCCCAGGTCACCCTGGTTATCGTGCAGACGATTTTTTCCTCAAATCTTTCAATACTTTTTCTATGGTGCTGGTTAATGTTCAGATCTCACTGTCATATATTTGAACTGGCTTTATCATAACATTTTGTACACCCTGTTTGTACTCCCTTAATTTGAGATTTTTTGAGACTATTCTAGATTTCAATCCTTTCACTCCAGAGTACTTCGAACAATAGTTGATGCTCCATTCTATGTTACCAACAGAACCCTACAACATGCCTCTAATTCCCACTTGTCCTAGACCTTATATTCCCCTTTTCCGAATTCCGTCAAAACCTAAAATATCATCCAAATCCACTTGCACAATCTCTAGCTCCAACCATCCCTACAATCCTCCTCGAAGATTGAAGCGGCAGTGGCCCAGAGACCTGTTGTAAATAAGCATATATTGGAGTTGCCAGTGGCCAGATTGTCCACTCAAGTCATGGTATGTCATAATACCAATAATATGACTCAATGAGAAGGGCTGAGATCTCCTAGAGTCCTGCCTTTCCTTCTTTCCATGAATGAATGAATGAATGAATGAATATTGTAGATATTGTGTAAAAGTATGTTTGTCTTTAAGCTGTTATTTTGATTAGTTCAGTTGTTTATGTATACATTTAGTTTTAGTTATATTATTTTACTGTTTAATTTATTTTTATTTATTGTACGTAAAGTGTGAATGTGCTCACTGAACACTATTATAAATTTCCTCAATTGAGACAAATTTTAATATTTTTTAATAAACAAATATTTAAAAAAAAAAAATTGAAATATCTATATCTCTTCTAACTAGGAGGGGTCATTGAGGTATTTTTGATCATGCATGTTGAGGTATATTCCAGATTATTCTTCTGAAATAATTTTTACAAGATCGTAAACAGTAGGAACTATTTTTTTAAAATCCATACTAGGCAGAATATATCTAATATAGAAATCTCTCTATTATATAAAAAAGCTTTTAGAGTATGTCATATTTTATTTTATTTTAGTATTACGAGATTACAGAGGAGATTAATACCTATTATCTCTGTAATTAGCAATAATTACACAGCTGCTAATTTAATTACATATGTGTTGAGCTCCGGTTACCTAATACAAAATAAAGATTTTAAACTAAAAATTTTTACAGGAATAAACAGTATTTATTCATTTGGAGGTGGTAGTTTGATTTTACCTAGATGACAGCAGTTATTTGTCGTCCTAGACATTTCCCCTTGACAACAATATATTAATCATTATATTATATTGTGTTACACTAGCGGATCCAGGATTTAATTTTGGGGGGGGCTTCAGCCCGAAAGCTTTTTTTTCATAAAAGTAACGATAATTACTTTGGAAAATACGAAAGAAACTAAGTACCTATACGAACTGGTGTTTAAGTGATTCCTAAAGCCCTTTTAAATGTAATTACACGAATAATTATACTTTAAGAGATAATTTTTTAGTATTTTTTCCGATAAAACATGGTTATATTTTACCATTTTGAGGGGGCTTCAGCCCGAAAGCCCCCCCCCCCCGTAGATCCGCCCGTGTTGTGTTATAATTATAATTATTATGAAATAAAAAAGAAAAGCACAATATAATGAAAAATAAAAGGTCTAAATTATTGTTGGGCTTATATGAAACTGGATAAGTTGAATATATATTATGGTTATAAATTGGCAATAAGAATAATTATAATTATATAATAATATAATTTGGCAATAAGCTGCGATGTACAATATAGATTTTTAAGGAAATAAAATTTTTTCCGAACTGTGGTTTCGTTCAGTTTATTTTATGTTGATAAAAATAATACAGTCTGAACTATATTATACATGTAAATTACAGTTATACAATTTGAGCAACGAGTAGTACAATTAAATAAACAGTTCTATAATTAGTAAAATGTGGGTTGGTCCACCGCCTGGAAGACGGGGGGTACCAACTTAGTGATATATAATATAACTAAATAATATTATATTTTTTCTAAAAGATGTTCGCCAGGTTCGATCCCATAATGCACCTCGTCGCCCAGCTGGTAAGCCCATGCCATTCGATCTGTAGTGAATCCTATTCCAATTTCACCTTTGTTGCTTACAGTTATGGCACCTCCTGTATTTCCAATTCTTTTGGTCATAGATTCACAAGCTGCAACCGTGGCATTTTGTGGAGATTCACCTAATCAAAACATGATACATTTATAATATATTTTACAACTTAACAGTTAGTTTCAATGACACAGTACATTATCGGAACACAATTGCATCCTACTGTACAGCTTACAGTCATTGTATTATATAAAAGGGTAGTAAGTTTTTAGTTTGTAACCGATATCCGCGAAAAATACAGAACTAATCTTTATAAAATTGTAACTGTGTTATCTTAATGGTTCCTGGGTGGTTTAGGAATAATAAAACTTATCGATATTTACAGAGCCGCGCAGGCGCAGACTACGGGAGGAGGAGGGTGCGATCGGCGCCCCAATAAAAATGTTAAGGAAGTGAGTATATCGTTTAGCTCCCTCCCGATAATTTGAAGTAAAAAAAAAATATTAAAATTGCTTCCAAAATAAGATACATGAATGATTAATATAATATAAACTAAAATCGATTAAGAAAATTCGACTCCCTGCCTAGGCTCATTAGTGGATCCAGGATTTAATTTTTTTTTTGGGGGGGGGGAGCTTCACCCCGAAAGCTTTTTTTTCATAAAAATAACGATAATTACTTTGGAAAAAAAGAAATAAACTAACTACCTGTATGAAATGGTGTTTAAGTGATTCCTAAAGTTCTTTTAAGTGTAATTACAAGAACAATAACACTTTAAGATATATTTTTTCCATAAAACATGGTTATATTTTACCATTTTGGGGGGAGGGGCTTAAGTCCCAAAGTCCCTCCCGTAGATCCGCCCGTGCCTAGGCTAAGGCCTAAAAGTAAGTACGTTACTATTTTATCACGACCTAAATATTCCTATTGTTTAAATTTTCATTTATATTCAGAGATGATTATATAGAAACGTTTTCAGAATTTTATGATCCATTCACCTATCATGCGTGTCCATTTCCATGTGATTTTCTTATAAAGTTTCTACGATAAATTTGAAAAAATATATTTTATAAGTATTAGTATATTTTATAGAGAATATTTTTATAGACATTTTTACATAACTACTTAGACTGTTAAAACATTGTATTTTTATTTTAAGGTTGTTCTAACTAAGAAATCAAAAATATTTTTCTGTTTTTTAATCTTAGTAATTTTTAGCTGGAAATGTTATAGAAACATTTAGTACAATAAAATGACTTGAGAGAAGGCCGACAGGTTTTATCTAAATTAGCTTGCGGAGAAAATTTATTTATTTCCGATAAATAAGGTAGTGTGGTGATTAAAATTAAGAAACGTCAAGCTTGGTAAATATTTGAATGGGTGGCCCTCCACTTGAGAAAAGCGTGAAGCCAGTCAGGATACTAGAGGCGGCTCACACCGACCGGCTATTTTGTCACTTTTCGTAATAAACTAACGATCTACTTCTACCTCCGGGAACAAAAAGTTGTATAGTTTACATTGAACTAATTACGTTTTCTTTAAATAACTTGAAACTATTCTTTCAAATCACTTTTAGAATTAGGACCTTTTGTCTGTTATTCATACATTCCTCAGTCTGATGTATTTGGTAATGTGCACACTGTGTAAACAAAATCTAGTCCAACTACTCCTCTATATTTCGAGTTTCTAATAATTATTTTTTAATGTTTGTTCAATTATTTTATACATGAGTGGCAACATTAATTAATCAATAACATATTTCTGTCTCCACTAGCAATTTGATATCCTCAAAGATAGAAGTAATCGTTTAAATAGAAGTGCAAGCACTTAAAACTAAACAATCTCAGTGTTTAATAACTGTCACTCTATTAAGAGTGATAACGATGTTTGCTTTGACTGAGATATTTTCTTTGCCACAACAAGAAATCGTTAGATAAATAAACTTAATCTTTACTTACTCACCATTGCTTTAAAATTATCATACCTTGTTGCATTAATGTCAAGATCCGGTGAGCCAAGTTATATTTCAATATTGTTTCTCCATGACCAGTTGAAGAAACAGCTCCTATTTCATCGTCACTGTATCCTCCACAGCCTGGAAAATTGAAACATTAATTACAACCTTAATATTGATGAAATATAAATAAGCAAAAGAAAATACAACCATAAAAGTATAAGAGCAACAAAGAATAAATGAAATATGAAATAATTAAAGAGTGTACGATGTAAGCACAATCCGTACTTGCAGGAATAATCTTGCTGTCTGGAATGTTTGGACAGATTTCCCAATCATACACTAAAATGTATTCCTCTTCTCCAATTTGTTTCTCGCATACCCATCTTCACAATCATCACTTATCGTACCCTTTCAATTCGTGAATCGTATAAATCGAAAAGATATTATTCAGAACGCCACCATACGGCCCTCACCATCTCAAAATTAAACCGGTCAGAACCATCCTAGAAAAACACAAGGGTGGATCATGAGAGACTCGCCAAGTAGACCTTCTAGACCCATGTGAAAAGTGGAAGGTCATTTCCGAGATACAAGGGATAGCTTGCAATGCAAGAGAGCTGGTGCACGATAGTAAACAATATAAAAATTATTTTAAGTAAAAATTTGTGTTCACCAATTATTAAAAATGAGAAATAAAGTCCGTGGTACAGACCCCTTTTTATCAAATAATTAACATAGGTCCGAAACTTCGTAAATAGCTTCATCTCATCATAACCTACAAATATTTTGTTTACGAAAATTCTCGGAAGTGGGGAGTTTTTAATGTGGTGGTCGGCAATCATTGTCTATTTAATTAGGTACTAAAAACTCGTAAATACCCATTTGATTTCCACTTGGATCAAAAAGTAATTTGGTCACGAAATCGATAAAAATAAGGCGGTCTATAAAAATATTGGGCCGTTTGGCCTATAATAACCTCGTTATTTTGACAATTTGGGGGTGTAGGTCGGGCCAAACGGCTCAATATTTTTGAAGGTCACCATTTTTCTCGGATTTGGGCTCAAGTTATCTTGCGATTCAAGTGGAAAGCAAATGAGTCTTGACGAGTTTTAGTATCTAATTAAATAGACAAAGTTTGCCTGCCTCCAGATTAAAAACGCGCCAATTCTGAGAATTTTCGTAAATCAAATATTTGTAGGTTGCGATGAGATCACTAGCGGATCCAGGATTTAATTTTGGGGGAGACTTCAGCCCAAAAGCGGTTTTTTTTTCATAAAAATAACGATAATTACTTTGGAAAAGATGAAAGAAACTAACTACCTGTATGAAATGGTGTTTAAATGATTCCTAAAGCCCCTTTAAATGTAATTACACAAACTATAATACTTTAAGAGATACTTTTTAAATATTTTTTTCGATAAAACATGGCTATATTTTACCATTTTGGGGGGGGGAGCTTCAGTCCGAAAGCCCCCCCCCCCGTAGATCCGCCCGTGGATGAGATGAAGCTATTTACGAAGTTTCAGAAGGATGTTCATAATTTGAAGGAGTCTGTACCATGGACTATTGCTAATAAGAAATTATGGGAGAAAGAGCTATAAACAATATAATAGAATCCATAAAAAATATAAAAGCCCCATAAACCAAAATAATATCCACTAAAACATCAATGCAGATGTTATCGGTAATATGTCGTATAAGGAAAAAATAAAAGTGAGAAATTCGAGCAAAAGAGAAATAGGAATATGGTAGAAAGAAGAAAAATAACAAAAGGTAACTACGGTCGAATCCAGATATTTGGAAACAAACAATGATGAAAGAAGAGTAAATAAAATTTCGTTAATTCTCGATCTAAGGTTTTTATGTGATTTTTCTCCAAGTGTGCCATGAATAGCCCAGGATAGTGACGACATCAATCACCTATTTAGAAAGGTTATAGAATCCTATAAAAAATGGGAGTTTTAAAAGTGTTTAAAATATTAATTTTAAAAATCAGGTGCATGCAACAAACACACATCTTTCACTTACCGTTCTACGTTGAACATAAATTATTGTCTGAAAAAATTGGGTAATTACAAACATTTTTAAGTGCATTTTTAATTGAGCTAAACCTTAAAGAACTCATTAGTGAATTTCAGTCATATTTATCAAACTCGTTAAGACCATCAAAATAACACAAAAGGGGAAAATAGAAAGACGACGTGCAAGAAAACATGGCGGAATATGTCATCAAGGGAGAAAAGACATTAGATAGAGAAGGAAGGAAAAACATCTTGAAAGATAGGTAGGTCAGAAAAGGTCATAGTAGTGAAATATTCCATCATAAAAAATATATATATATACTAAAATGTGAGATTTTGGAACAAGGGATTCAATTGATTGATTCATTCATACATTCAATTGAATGAATTAATTATTTCTTAGAAACCTGGAAGTGGTGTATCTCCAATCCTTCCCTTATACTTTCCTGTGGTGCCTCCAGTAGATGTTCCGGAAGCAACATGGCCGGTTGAATCAACAGCGACGCAACCTACTGTGCCTACATCACCTAGAGTTCGGCTAACAAAAGAAAAAAAAAATAGTTTAAATATATATTTTAAAAAGTAATGACAATTCATCCTTCACAAAAGATTATACATTAATTTGGTGTACAGGGTGTCATGGAAGTAGAGGGAAATAAAGTTCACATAGTATACATCAACATTTATAAAAATGAGTTAATATAAACAATTGCCCAATTTCCAGCAGAAAAGTAGAAAATTTAATGTTTATGTTTTTTTTTTTAAGCGAGTCATGTAGTTGTTAAATAGGAAGCGATAATATAAAACATATTTGTTTAAAGTTATTAACCATTGCTGTGTAGTAAACTAGACAAAATTTACTTTAAACAAAAGGAGAGTTTGCCATTATTAAAACTATTTGAAAGAAGAATATTGAACGGAGAAACACAGCTAAGTTCGGTTTAAAAAAATTCATAAATTAGTTGTATTTTTTTTTATCACCCTTCAACGGTACTCCATTTGACCTACTGTTAGATAAACTTTCCCATTTAATAAACTTTTCATACTTTTCCCTCCACAGTTGGAGGGACAAGTCTGGTTTGGCGTTCTCTTGCCAAATTGTAAATATTTTATATAGGTGTGTATGTGTTCTTTTTATTTATTTATTTTTAGGTTATTTTATTTTTATTTATTGTATATATATTATTTTTCTGTATAATTTATTTTATTTACTGTACATAGAGTGTGAATGTGATCTGTGAACACTATTATACATGTCCTTGAGACAGATTGTAATATTTTTCAATAAATAAGCTTAAAAAAAAAAAAATAAGCCTTAAGTCCATATTAATCAGGTTGAGGTTTATTAGAAAAAAATTTAAGATTCACCTCAAGTTGTGTAAAGAAATTATGTGATTTTCTATGCAGTCACCTAAAAGTACACGTTTTCAGTAAAAGTTACTACAATTAACCACAGGCGGATTTATGGGGGGGCTTTCGGGCTGAAGCCCCCAAAATGGTAAAATATAACCATGTTTTATAGGAAAAAATATTAAAAACTGTCTCTTAAATTATTATTGTTCTTGTAATTACATTTAATAGGACTTCAAGAATCACTAAAACATCATGTCATATGGGTAGTTAGTTTCTTTCTTTTTTTTTCAAATTAATTATCGTTATATATATATATATATATATATATATATATATATATATATATATATATATATATATATATATATATATATATATACATATATATATATATAAAATCCTTCGTGCTGAAGCCCCTTCCAAAATTAAATCCTGGATCCGCTAGTGCAATTAACTATTACAAAGCTTTTATTTCTTGTTTTTACGAGATATATGATGTATTTTAATAAATATAGTTGCCTAAAAATAAAAAAATTAATAATAATGATTTTTCAAATATTTTTCATGTAGGGTACCTATGAGATTTCTGCCATAGGAATTGATATGTATTTATAAGTGACAAACTTGATGTTTCTAGCCCTAATATTTACGTTTTCATGTAAATAATGGAAGCAATCATTAGGTTTATTTATTTTAAATGTAAATTTTAGTAAGAAATATGAAGTTTTTCACTGTGTAATACATATTAATTCCTTTGACGGAGATCTAGAAGAAAAACATCTCCTTATAGTGGTTTCATAACCACTTTACATGAATTTTTATATTTATAAATAATTTTCGTCAATTATATTTATTACAATACATAACCGGGAAACAAGAAATCAAAGTTTTGAAACAGTTAATTGTAGTAATTTTTGCAGAAAACACGGGTACTTCAAGGTGACCTGATAGGAAATCATATCATATCTTTAAACAACGTGAGGTGAATCTCAAAAGTTTTCTCAATAAACTTCTACATAATTAATACGGAATTAGCTTATCAAACGAGGAACTTTTCTTAAAAGTGAGATAAATTTATCACAGTTGAAAGGTGATAAAAAAAAAATCACAAATAATTTATGACATTTTTTAAATTGAACTTAGCTGTGTTTGTTCGCTCAATAGTCCTCTTCAAATAGTTTTAACAATGGCAAACTGTAATTTCTTTTAAAGTAAATTTTGACTAGTTTACTATGGAACAATGTTTTATTACTTAAATTTAATATTTTTTAAGTTATTGCTTCCTATTCAACAAAAGATCTTGATGTCTACTTTCAAACTTTTAAATATTTCCCTCTATTTATAGGACACCCTGTTAAATAGGTAATCAGAAATTCTTTATAGAAATGGTGTTATTGATTTAACCATTATAAAATATGACTTATTTTCATGAACATACTCTCCGACATTAGTAAGAGAAGATTTTCCATCGGCAAGTGACCTCTTTCTGAATTCTTCTAAAGCTTTTTTTTCGAACTCTGTAATGAGGTAGTCATCAGGTACCCTAGGAAAACCCATTTTGACAATAAACTCTTCTACACCCTCGCCTCCTAATATCGCATGCGGAGTTTTTTCCATGACCATTCTAGCTAGAGAAATGGGATTAGCAATATTCTTCACCAGCGTAACACTGCCTAAAAAGGACAATATATTTCTATAAAATTAAAATAATAATAATAATAATCAATACAACACAAGATTCACCTGCTGAAAGATTCTTTCCTTCAGTAACAAGAGCGTCCATTGCTACTTCCCCTGCTGCATTTAAAGTAGAGCCTCTACCTAGAAAACATAAATATTACAAATGATTGAATGAAGGAATAAAAATACTTTAAGCATTTAAACAGAATATTAATTAATAATTATTTAATACTAATGATATTGAATTAAGATGGAATAATTCTGTGTAATGTTTAAGTTGTATTAAATAATAATTTGGTATAATTGATTTTTTTATTATAATATAAAAATACATCTGTGCATAAAACCTGCATTAAAATTTTCATCGTCTTCCATGGTGCGAACTGCTGCTTCAACCGCATCTAGAACATTCCCGGTAGCGTACAAGACTCGGTGGCCTTCCATGGCTGCTTTCTTAATTCCTTCATATTTAACTTGCTTTCTGCAATCTGGAATATCTCCAGCTCCTCCATGGACCACAAAAACAGGTTGCACCATTGTTCTATGTTGTAAAATAAGCAATTACTATCTAAATGTACAAAAAAATCAACCTCAATTATGTTATAAGTAAATAAAACAAGAATCTAAAACAATCTTAAAAGTTATAACTAGAGACCGGATTTCCGTATTATTGCAATTTTTATTCGCTAGCGTGTAAAAACTCCGGACAGGAACATCTATCCGTTTCAGAACCTGTAGAATAACATATTTAAATTTTATATTGCACGTTTTGTCGCTTTTGGCTTAACTTGCACGATTTTGATTTTTGTTGCATTAAATTGCACATCTTTGCACTTTTGTGCTAAATTTTTTTTTTTGTTTTATTTTATTTTATGCAATTTGCACCTGCGCAGCTGCGCATCTAGCAAATTTGTTGTATTTTTATTGTATTGGTGTAATTGCTTGATTTATTTTTTATTGATGTAGTAGGTCTCTTGGCCATTTTCTTCTTAATCTTCGTTGCTCAGGTAACAGGGACCAGGAGATAGAAAGAACCAGAGGATTGGAGTGATTTTGGGTTGAAGAATGAAATGTAGTGTATTTGTCGTGGATGTAGGATTTTACTGTTGGGGTGTTTAAGTCGTTATGTATAGTAGTGTTTGAAATGTACCAAGGTGCGTTAACAATTTTACGTATAATTTTTGATTGTGCTGTTTGTATTTTGTTTATGTGTGTTTGTTTTGCTGAACCCCAAAGTTCTGCTCCATATGTCCATATTGGTCTCAGTAAGGTGTTGTAGATAAGTCGCTTGTTTCGTAAGTTAAGTGAAGATCTGTAGTCCAGAAGATGTGAAAGTTGGCTATATCGTCTAGTAAGTTTTTGTCTTTTTAATTTCGTATGTATGTTCCAAGTAAGCCTTTTGTCTAAGTAGAGTCCAAGGTACCGTACATAGTTCTTTGAAGGCACTGGATTATTGGCAATCGTTATGGGTGGACATGAGGCTTTCCTAAGAGAGAAACTAATGTGGGTGGATTTTGTACTATTAATTTTGATTCTCCAGTTTTCAAACCACTTTTCAAGAGAATGAAGATGGTTTTGTAGGGAAATTGATGCGATAGTAGGATTTTTGTGTGAAGATAGAATAGCAGTGTCGTCAGTGAAGCAATAAATGGTGGTATTAGGGTGCTCAGGGATATCAGAAGTGTATATAGAATAGAGGATCGGGCTCAAGACGCTACCTTGTGGTACGCCTTTGTGTTGGGGAAAGAAGGAAGATACAGAAGAGTCTACGGAAGTACAGAAAAATCTATTAAGAAAGTAGGATTGAAGAATTAAAAAGTAAGTGGAAGGTAAGTGCGGTTTTAGTTTCCATAATAGGCCCTTGTGCCAGACACTATCAAATGCTTTCTCTATGTCGAGAAAGACGGCAGAGCAATATTCCTTTTTTTCAAAAGTCACAGAGATAGCATCTACTATCCGATGGCACTGTTGCACAGTAGAGTGATAACAGCGAAAGCCAAACTGGTGATTTGGTATCACTTCACTATATTCTAGAATAGGCTTTAGTCGGTTTAATAATAGCTTTTCAAATAGTTTGCCCATTATTGGAAGAAGTGCTATAGGACGATAGGATGAAGGAGAAGTGGTAGGTTTTGAAGGTTTGGCAATCATTTTGATTGTGGAGAGTTTCCAAAGGAGAGGAAAATAGGTAGTGCGTAAAATGGAGTTATAGATGTGTGTAAGAAACAAAACAGCTTTTCGAGGTAGGTGTCGAAGAATGAAGGGAGTGATTAGATCATAGCCATCAGCTTTTTTGTTTGGTAGTCTGTTGATTTCTTTGTAAATTTCTTTCGGATGAAATGCCGATGGGGGTAGTGATAAGGGTAGTGGTGTTGTCAATTCTTCTTCTATTGCGTCAGTAAAATTATTGTCCTGTATTCTGTTTGTCCCAAATACTTGTGCAAGATATTTAGCGAATTCATTGGCTTTTTCTTCGCTTGTTATTGCCCAAGTGTTGTCTGTACGTCGGAGAGGGTATTGAAGGTCTTTTTTCTTTAGTATACGTCTTGTTGTTGTCCATATTGATCCATTTCTATTGTTTATTGTGTCTATGTAGTCTTTATAGCTGTCATTTTTAAATTTTAATAGTTTTTCGTGAAGTTTTCTAGTTAGTGTGTTGAGTTCTGTTTTGTACGATGGATATCTAGTTCTTTGCCATAGGGCTCTAATCCTACGTTTTTCTTTTATAAGATTATGTATTGGCTGAGGTAGGTAAGAAGCAGGTTTAGTGTATGTCTTTGGTGGTCTCGTTGAATGCCAAATAGCCTCTTGTATACTTTTTGTTAGGTCGTTGACTGCATTGTCGAGGTCGTCAGCTGTACTAATTAAAGTGTTTAACGTAATTTTGTTGTTCAAAAAATGTTTAAAGTCGTCCCAGTTTATGTAACCGTTAATTAATGTCGGGGGTTTGGGTTTAACGAAAGGGTTGTTCGAAAGTTCAAGTAAAATTGGGCTATGATCAGATGAAAGGTCAAGGAGAGAGGAAACGTTGGAATGTGCATGTGGTAAGGAGCTTGTGACAAAGAAATCAAGAAGATCGGGAGACTTTGATAGTGAAGTAGGCCAGTAAGTAGGTTGAGATGGCGAAATTACAGAAAATTTCAAATCTTCAATACATTTTTGTAGTCTTTTTCCACGAGTATTGGACACTCTAGATCCCCACCTTGTGTTTTTTGCGTTAAAATCTCCTCCTACAATGAATGATTTTCCCATTGTCGAGAAAATAGCCTTTAATTCATTCGTGGATATATATTGGGAGCTATATAGACTGAGGCAATCGTGAGTTGGAATTTTGAGGAGTTTAGAGAAATATTGGTGTATTGTAGGGAATTCGTAGAAGCAGCAGGAAGAATATGGTGATTTAAGGACTTGTCCACAATAATTGCAGTTCCTCCATGTGCTGTGTGGTCTGGATGGTCAGTTCTGTAAGTTTCGTAATCTTGTAGCTTAAATGTTTGTTTGTCTGTTAAATGAGTTTCAGTAATCAGAGCTATGTTTATGTCATGTTCTTTTAAACAAATTTCCAGTTCATTTTTTCGTTGGAGCAGACCATTGGAGTTCCATAGGAGTATTTTTAGAGAAGGTGATTTCGAATTAGTCATTGGAAGTAATAGTAGAAATGAAAGTAGAAACTAGTTTAGTTAGAAGTTCTAAAATAGGGGATAAAAGAGATTTAAGTTCAGTTAGAAGAGGTTCCATAGAAGATTTTATAGCTGAAGAAATATCAAAAGTTGAAGGTTGGATAGAAGCTGTAGAAGGATATCTCCCTGTTACCTTAGCACAGGAGACCCCTGCCACGGTAGATGGTTTATCACTACTCTGCGGTGTTAGATCTTTCTCTTCTAATTTTTGAACTGATTTAACGTGTTCTTCATTTGTTTCTATTGATATGAATTTGGCTTTTGATGGATCCATTATATTTGGAGTCTGTGAAGAGAGGGGATCTATCTCTAATCCTGATCCAGAGGTTATATGGTTGACAAATGGTTTGTTTTTTAGATAATTGTGCTAAATTAGACAGTTTATAAACATAAAAGTATAAGTGAGTGTGTTAATATTTATTTTACTATATTGTTCAAATTAAATTCATTATTCAAAGTACAAAAATATGTGAAAGGCAAATAATTTTGTGTGAAGCAATATCGTATTCATTACAAAAGGAAGAAGCAAACACAACCGAGAAGATCTATTCTTGGAATAGAACTTGCCTAAAGTATTGGATAATAAAAAGCTGCCTGCTTTGTTATTGAATTAGCTGATTTGTTACAAAGACATTTATAGTTTTTGTTTTGGCATGAATCCTCACTCACCGCTCAACCCCTCAGTATCTCTTCTGGCTTTGAATTGATTTCTAGAAATTTCATTCTTATAAAAAAAAATTATAATGCTGAAAGTAAAATCTAGTCTCCCGTCAAAAATTAAAATCTATTTATAAAAATACTCCGATTTTAAATGTGAGAACAAAGAATTTGATGAGAAAGATCTAAACACCTTATGAAAAATTAATCAGGTCATAGGAAATCACTGATGGACGCTCATTGGGGAACGTGTAAGAAAAAAATATTCTTATCAAAGAATTGAATGTTTGTTTTTTTCTTGTTTTTTAGAAAGAGCATAATCCACAAAAATATTCTTTTTCAGTGATATAGAAAAACAGCTTCAACACTAATATTTTAAAACTTAAAAATCTCAAACATTACAGTCTATATGATTTTTTTAAATTCTTTAAATTTTAACAAAAGCGTTTTTGAATGTATGATATTGAAAATTTCAACCCTATTAAAAAATAAAATTTTCATTATTATTTATAATAAAAGTTAAATATCTAAAATTTGTCTGGTCTATATTATATATATATATAGGTACCTATAATTCCTGCCTTCATTTATTCCTTTAAACCTTCAATACTCTGCATCATTTGATAATAATCGTTGATTATAATCTGAAATTTTATTTTCAATGTTACATTTCAATTTTTTTTATTTCTCAGTTAACTCAAAATTTGATGAGATTTGGATATATTTATGTTATAAATTAAACAATATCGATGATTTTACAAGTTTTTAGGTGTTAATTATACAATTTTACGTATTTTTTATTTGTACTGCACGATTTAGAACATTTTGAGTTTTTTACTGCACGTTTTCCGGATTTTTACTCCACGTAAATCTGGTCTCTAGTTATAACCATATGAAACTTTAGAAAGGCCACAAAACTACATACTGTCACCACAGCATTTGAGATGGATGCAACCTATTTTCGATTTATTTCAATCTAATCAGGATCTTTTGGGGAATCTCGCTACTTTACATTCGCTCCACATGCCCAGCCAATCGGAGTCTTCCAAACTTGATAATTTTTTTTTAATTGTTCCTCTCTTTATCGGCTTCAGCCATCAGAGACCTAGCAGCCCAGTAGCATTCCGGTTTGGACGATGTGGTATCTCTTATGCTTAATAAGCGCGAAGATACAGTTAATTCGCTGCATCCATAAGTGTTCCCTAATTACACGGATTGCAATTTGGAGAGTCTGCGACTCCTATTCTATGTAGGTGTTCCCTAAGGTAGTCGTGGCCTGTTATCGTTCGGAACTCTGCTACAGCTTCTTTTCTCGGCAGGTTTATGGGTACTCGATCTGCTTTATTGAGCAATATCTTTCCATTACTTCTCCACAATACTGCTTTTTACGGATTCAAGTATTACAGCCTCATTTGCCTTATTTATTTATTTTTTCTGGTTCTATGAAACGATGTTAGATTTTCAGGCTGGTTCAATGTCTTGAACCCTTCCTTGGCGAGTTTATCAGACATTTCGTTACCATGGAGACCACAGTGACTTGGTATCCATAGAAAGAATAACTTAATAATAACAATACCTCTGCTTAGGCTTGAGAGCTTCATATTTTTTTCTCATTTTACAGGCATTGCCCTCTTTCTTTAACTTGACCAAACATTTTTCTTAATATGGATCTTTCAAAAATCAAAAACACTGTCTCATCCACTTTCATATAATAATGAAGAAAGCCCATTCTTCTGATTCATAAGTAGGGACTGGACGCACTAGCGAATAATACAGATATACCTTGGTACCATTAGATAGGAATCTACTCCTGGAATGCTTTGCGAGGATAAAGCACCATTTGACTGGCTGTTGTGAACCTCTTACTAATCTCCTGTAAGATATTATTTTGGGACTTTATTTCGGTTCCCAGACATTTAAAGCACAGGCAGATCTACGGAGAACGCTTTGGGGCTAAAGCCCCCTCCCCTCCTCCTGCCCTCCCAAAATGGAAAAATATAACCATTTTTTACGAAAAAAATATTTAATAATTACCTCTAAAAGTATTATTGTGCGTATAATTACATTTAATAGTACTTAAACTCTATTTCATATAGATAGTCCTTTCCCTTTCTTCTTAAGTAATTATCATTACATATTTTTTTTTTTCTGGCTGAAGCCCCCCTCAAAACTAAATCCTGGATCCGCTAGTGCCACTCCTCATCCTCCAACTCTCATATTCCGTCTTGTGCTCATTGACTACAAGACCGAGCCTTTTTGCAGCATCCATCAGAGCCAAGAATGATTTGTGTAAGGTACATTCTGATCAGGAAATAATGTCAAATCGACAGCATCCCCTATAAAAGAGAATAAATGTTCGTACGAACTACTACCATTCTAAGTCCAAAAGGCAATTCTTTAAAACCTCCAATAGATAAAAACAAAAATGGCCAGATTTTCCGAGACATTTTTTAGTGATTTAAAATTATATAAAACGAAAATCGGGTAATTTCGCTAGAATTTGAACAGTTTTTCCACACAAATTTTCGAGTTATTTTCTGTTATTTGTAAAGAAGAAACTACCTCCTCGCCGTGAAGTAAGGAAATACAGACTTTGTCTCCACAGCTACACCCTCCAGACTTTTATGAGACATGAAATATAAAGTATTAATAACTTAATTAAAATGCATAATTTAAAACTTTTAATACAGCTCTAAATTCTATATTATTCCTCCATCTGTAGACGCCTATTACATAAATGCCATCGTATAATCTTCTCAGCATTTCCCTCTCCGATCTGAGGATTTGTTTCCAGAATCTATTTACTGTACAATATTTTTAGCCATATTTAAGGACCGGTCCAATAATTATCTTATTTGCTTTTTAAGAGCGAAGTATGCCTTAGTTTTATTTGGGATGATGCTTATTTAAGTTAAAATAGCATTTAGGAAGGACATAGAAAGCCATGGAAGAGTTAGAAGACGCGGGGTTTATGAACAGTAATGGGAACATTAAGCTAAAAATATCGAAATATCAGTACTTAACTGGTTTCCAATATCAGTATTGTTTTGCGACTAATGTTGCAATGTCGAACCTACTGTGCTATTGTTTTACCGAACTAGCTTAACAGGTTACAAAAATCGAACCTTGAAAAATATTTGAAATGATCATTTATTTAACATGGAGGAGAGTTCACACCCATAATTGTAATATCCTTAGTGATTTATCCGCCTCAATTAATTTTTAAAATTTAATCTTTATACAGAAAATGTTTAAATTTACTTTTTATGCTAAAAAAAAAATGCAACCTTAATTTATCTAGAATATTATTTTTAAAACTTCTAAAGCTATGAAAATGCAGACCAAAACTTACATGTATCAAGAGTTCTGCCAAACAATCTCTAATTATCTAAATTTTTGAAACAAATAGAACATGTTATTGATAAGATAACATTTAAAAAAATACTCATAAGTTCTTAATCACTTTATTAGAATCTCATACTTCATTATATACTAATTACTGACGTAGTGAAAAGTCTCAACAACATTAAAGAAAAAATTCAATGCTCTTCTTGGAATTTAAATCTCAAAATTTCTAAACACAACAAGGAAGCTTTACGAAATGAGTAAGGTTTTTAGAGTAGTCATGAAGCAAGCTTTAAGTTGAATTACATATTCACTGTCAACTAATGGTCTTAATTTTTTATTTTAAAAAATATATAGATTTGTTTTGGGATAAAGAAACTTAAACAATAGTTAAAAAGTTGGTTAATTTCACCTGTGTCCAGGAAGGGGTTTCTTGTTGCAAGTTGTGTCAGCAACATTTTGGAGGGAGTCACATTTTTATAGAGTTTTAAATTTTAAAGGGGGTAAATTCCGATGGTTATAAATTATTTGAATTTCTGAAGTAAAAAGTTTCAAAGCAGAAAACAAAGAAAAAACATACAACAGTCCACAGCAAGTGTGATTGTATATGATCAACGATTTTTATAATTCTACTCTAGCTTGGACTTGTTTTAAGAAGAAGAGAACAATACAATTTCTAAAGTGTAGGGGTGAAGTTTAAGTGCCGTGGACCTTGGAAGGGGAGGAGGAGGAATGCGTACCCTTTGTCTATTTCATATTTGAAAGAACATACATCAAAGGAAATAATCAGCTCAGAAGTAGGACTGAGCAGAGAAATCAAAGGCCCTAGGGATAATTTTCGCAGGTCCTTGTCAAATATTAAACATACTACTAAAATATAGCTGAATATTATTATTATATACATATTATTATATAATATATGTCATTACATATACACATATACATTACATATATTATATAATATATGTAATGTCACTTTATATTAACGTCAATGTCTGCTCATTAAAGAATTTATCTCAAACGGGAAAGGGACAATTTTTAAAATTTAATTTCTATCCTGTATAGGGCGTCATTTTTGTAAGTAATTTCTTTTAAAATGTTCAGATACTAATAACTGGTCTGTCTATGTAAATTCAGAAATTTATTATGTTTGTTTTTTTGCTATTTTATTTTTATTATTTTCTATGTTAAAAGTAGAAGGGTGCAGGACAGCTGACTCATCTTGTACCTTGGACACCCCTTTAAATAAATTGTTGATAATAACCAGTCCTTGACATGATGACATGACATGACAGACACCAGTTTCTTCAATCCACTTATAAGCTAATCAATGAAATTACTTTTTCAAGTTGTTTGTCTTAATTTTTGCTATAATATCAAAAATTATTCAAAACCAAAGGAAACAAATTTATACATATTTTTCATTTAATATAAACATTTTTCTATATTTTTAATAAGAGGCATAACAAAACAAAGACATTATTTATTTATATGAATAAATGTATAATAATAATCAGTCTTTGGAATAAACTTCCTTCAACTGTATTTACTAATCCAAAATTATGTATTCAGTAATCCTGGCAGAGATGTGGTCAAATGGATAGACAAGTCGTAAAATATCAAATGTTTAACCAACTACTATCTCAACTTTACACAAAACAAAAGAAAATTCAAACAGATATCATCAACAGTGTATTTCCTACTTTCCACAATATGCTAGCAGTATTAGGTTGCTTTTGTATAGTCTGGACTATGAGGATTATCCTGGAGTATGCCTTTGGTTCCAACCTAAAACTCTTTTGGTTGGCTACTAAGATTCATTATTGAAAATAATAACCCAAAATATAAGGAAATTCGTATCACTTATCTATATAAAAAATACGCAGAGATAATATGATATATGAAAAAAGAAACATTTCAAAAAATTTTAGCACTGAAGAGCAATGCAGGTGATTTTACTTCATCTTTATAACAACTCATTTCATTAACAAATTACTGTGTGATCAATTAAAGATTAAACATTAGTTTATTTTTAATAGAAAATGATAAATAATGCTTTGCTGTTGAATTCTGAAAGGAGAGGATACAAAAGGGCTGAGATGATCATTCGTAATTGTTTTGACAAGAAAAATAAACACCCTAGAAATAAATGTTGCAGGAAACTTAAAAAGGGGCAAAAAAATAATTTGATTAGTTAAATTAGAATATTTAATAAATCCACCAATAATTTCAATGATATACAATCACAGCTATAATTATCACAATATATAGATTAATTATGATTATTTATAACAGAAGAGACCACTTATTTTCATAACATAATTAAAAAATTGTAGAAAATATTTATCTAAGATAATTCAATTAGAAAATATTAACATTATATTTTTTCAACAAGGTGTTCGCCGGGTTCAATCCCATAATGCACCTCATCACCCAGCTGGTAAGCCCAGGCCATTCGCCTTGAACTGAATCCTATTCCAACCTCACCTTTGTTGCTTACAGTTATGGCTCCAGCTGTCTTTCCGACTCTTTTAGTCATAGATTCACAAGCTGCAGCGGTGGCATTTTGTGTGGATTCTCCTAATCAAAACATGACAAATTTATACATTAAAACATATTTTTGACAATATGTTAGTAAACAGGATGGCACATTATATTATAAACAATGCTAATAATATTTTATAGATAAGAATACAAAGTTTCAGATTTTTATCAGTCAAATCTACACTTTCAGCTTGTGGTTGTTCAAATGCTTTTATATATGAATTCCAACACTTATTAATAATTTTTAATTCAGTGGAACAAAATTCTCAAATCAATTGTTGCTGAACACATCATGAAGATTAGGAAAAAGAAAAGTAAGAAAGATGGGTCTCATATCAATTGAATATCGATAAAAATTATAATTAAAGTATTAAGAGCCTATATTTTCTAATAGTAGAGGAAATTTTGGATTCCGTTTCTAACTAAAAAGACCTCTAATTAACTTATTAATTAACTAATTTATTAAATACCTGGACTATTCCATACAAGAAAAAACTTCAAAATATTAACTTCTATACCAGAAGCTATTGATACTAGTGAGGACAAACTAGTTCAGCAAATGAAACTAGTGGTCATTTCTGTTAATCCCTGATGGCTACCGAAGGTTGTTACAAGGTACTAACCAAAATGAGAATCCTAAGATTCATTTCCAAAGACCATCAAGAAATAAATATTAGCTATTCGAGATTTAAATCAAATCCAAATTAGGCACTCTGAGAACATCAATCCAACATCCTAAGCCATTGTAATCTCTATACCAGAAGGAAGAGAAAAGCTAACAGATATGATGAAAGTTCATTGATTGTATAAATGGATACTTGGATTGTTTAAGTTAAACTTATAATTTTCAGATTTATTTGGTTTTGCCAGGTTAAGAAGCAAAACCTTCAATTATTTACGGACAACCCATAGTTTAAAAATGATCGTACCTTGTTGCATTAGTGTCAAGATCCGATGAGCCAAATTATATTTCAATATTGATTCTCCATGGCCAGTAGTAGAGACAGCTCCCACTTCATCATCACTGTAACCTCCACATCCTAGAATAACAAAAAAGGAAATTAGAAAGTTAAACCAACTTAAATACTGATCAAATTTAACTAAAATATGTACTGTTTAGGTTAAGATAACATTAAAAATAATTCAATAAAAATGAGCATACACAGATAATAATTATTGAAATATTGAATACTCAGTAGTTGACCGTAGTATATTGAGCAAAGAGGTGGTCCTATTGGAATGGCAATCAAAGAAAAATAGAGGAAACTATTTTATTAACCTCATGTTTTAACCAAAATGTCATTATTTTTCTAAGTTTGTTTTAAACATATGTAGAACAGAATAGAATAGAATAGAAAAATCCTCTTTATTCTGGGACTAGGTCCCTTAAGAATAACAGTATTGTTCATATAAATTAACAATAAATCTGGCCAAAAGACCTATTACAATGAATAATAACAAAATACTAGTAACAAATTAAGTATAATAGCTCTTAGGATATATTAACGAGAACAGTTCGGTAATAGGAGTTCAATACTACAATATTGGAGCTAAAACAATAGCATAATAATAATCACTAAATGAAAATAGAAAGGAACACAAAATCAATTTTATAGGTAAAGCGTTGTAGTGATGGAATATAAAAATTTTAAAAAAATAATAATAACTGTATGCTTTTTTTTCCTCCCAACCTCTCTCTTTCTCTCTGTACTTTTATTTTTAATTACCTATTATTTTTAAATATGTAATTTAATGTATGGCCACACTTGCATTTACTCTGTATTTATAATTTATTCTAAAGGAGCAACAGCCCCAGAATAATGAAATTTTTTTTCATTTCATTTCAAATATGCAGGTGTTCATTATTATTATTATATGAATTATTTTTTATAAATTTGTTAGGAAAGGCCTACATAGTTGAGTTGAAAAGTTGTCTAAATAAAATAGTTTACACTATTTTAAGTTGTTTATTTTTTTTATGACCGCCACTTCATACTACTCTTTTCACAATAATTATAATAATTAAGATGGACTGCGATAGCGATCATAAAAAAAAAAAAAATTAAAATAGTGGAAATTATTTCATTAAGCCAACTTTTCAACCCAACTATGCAGCTCTTCATCAACAAATGTATATAAAAAAATTCATGTAATAATAATAATAATTATTGTTCACCAAGCCCTGGCCTCATTAAATAACATGACAACAGACGAGGTTCCTTATTATCAATATGAGCCCAAACCGGTGCTGTCAAAAGAAAATAGAATAATATATTGGGATCGATCTATGATTACAGACCACACGGTACTAAACAACAAACCAAACATTGTATTAATTGATCGGAAGAAGCAAAGTGGGTATGTCATTGATATAGCAGTCCCAACCGATGGTAATATCAGAAAGACTATTTCTGAAAAGATTAGGAAATATCAAGACTTGTGCCAAGAGCTTCGGCAACTTTACAAACTGAATCAAGAACAGGTATATCAAATTGTAATTTCCAGCGATGGCCTCATCCCAGACAATACCATTCGCTCTGTCGAAAATTTGAAACTGTTAGAGAAAGTGTTGGAAGAAGGGCAAAAAGCAGTTCTCCTAGGTACAGCAAGCGAACATCGTCAGGAAGTTTTTAAACATAGTTTAACTTTTGAGCCTAACCCTTGACCTTGGTCCAGATAGGTGAATATTTCTGGCAAAAGCCAAGAAAATTTGAAATTCGAAAATAATAATAATAATAATGAAGACCTGCATATTTAAAATTATTTTTAAGACTGCCACCCCAGACCATCTCTTAATCATTGTAAATAATGTGGAAAGAGATGACCCGAGATGGTCATCATAAAAATAATAATAATAATTAATAAAAAAAAAATAAAAATAAATACCAAAACATATTTCAGCTGTAGTCACCAGCTTCGTATATACACTTTTCCAGATATTGGAAAGCTTGGGTATTCCTTGTTCAAATAAACATTTGTGGGAGAGTTATCAGTTCTCATGATTCTTTCAAGAAGTAAACTAAATTAAACTTGGGAATAAATCTGGATTATAAGGAGAGTTTCTGCAGGTTTTCTCAATACATTTCTTATCCCTTGTCAAGATCAAAGTTTTAAACCTCAATACGTAGAAGGATAACATCTCTAATCTCATCTTCTATTTCGGTAGACGGTATTTGCTAACCATAACAAAAGGCAATAGTAACTTGAATTCCCTATTCTCTGACAGAGAAAATTAAAGTAAAACCCCATTAAATAAAAAAATTTTGCAACAAGAACTCTTGACTGAAATGAGTTTTGCCTTGACTGGATAACTTGCTTCTTTCTTTTACCACTACTTACACACCATTTTAAACTCATGAGAGTAAGAGGGAAACCATATCTGAATAAATGTGTGGATATTTCTCAAAAAATCCTTCTTATCTAGAATAACAATTAGCAACGATGAAGTCGAAGGACAAGTAATTGGATGACAAGTCATCCTCAAGCCTTATATGAACAAGTTTCCAAATCAGTGACAAAAGTGCATAAATTGCACAGGAAATTACATTAAAAAATGTTGAAAGTATGGTTTATGATAATACATTGATCAATAAATGAGTAAAAATAGCCATCATTGATATATATAATTCATCCTCATATATGGTACTTATCGCCCTGGAACAATGGCTAGCAGGCGGTGGAGTGGAAGGGAATCAAATCATAAAATGAATTTACAATTTTTTTAATAATAACTCGGTCTGTATACATCAAATATTTTATCTTATACAAAAGATGTTTTTATTATTTAATTTATTTTGGAATAATAATGTCAGAAAAAAAAAACAATTTAACCCTTTAAAACTTATTTTATTTATTTCTTTTCAATACATCTTCAAGTCTGCCTAATTTTTATATTTGAAACAGGGCATATGTTTAATATAAACATAAAAATAACACAATGAGTAAATTAGTCCAAAACATTGTCTGATTTATTTTAAAGAAATAAATGAAAAGAGTTTTAAAAGGGTCAAATATTATTTTTTTTTTTCTGTCAATGAATTAATGAATATTTATAAACCTGGAAGTGGCGTATCTCCAATTCTTCCCTTATATTTCCCCGTGATACCTCCAGTAGATGTTCCAGAAGCAACATGACCGGTTGAATCAACAGCGACACAACCTACAGTACCTACACCACCAGGTGTTCGGCTGAAAAACATAACTTTTTAATTTATATAATTTTAATCAAGTAATGTTGATAGAACAGAAGAATCACATATGTTTTAAAAAATAATTTAGCAGAATAGGACTTATTCACATAACACATACTCTCCAATTTCAGTGAGTGAAGGTTTGTTATCTGCAACTGATCTCTTCTTAAATTCTTCTAAAGCTTTTCTAGCAGCATCTGTAATGAGATATTCATCAGGTACCCTGGGAATACCCATTTTGACAATGAATTCTTCTACTCCGTCTCCTCCTAATACAGTATGGGGAGTTTTTTCCATGACCATTCTAGCAAGAGAAATTGGATTAGCAATATTTTTCACCAATGTAACACTGCCTAAAAAGTAAAATTTATTGGGGCTTGATTACTTAAAGATATATTTATTATAAAACCTAAGCAAAAATTTCAAAATTCACCTGCGGATAATTTCTTCCCTTCAGTAATGAGAGCTTCCATTTCTACTTGTCCAGCTAAGTTCAAAACAGAGCCTTTACCTAGAAAATTTAAACATAACAAATAATTAATTAAAGACAAGTACTTTTTAAAAAACAATGGCACTGAACTAAAAATGAAAAAAAATTTTCTTTATTTCAAACACAAAACATCATCAATAACATTTTATTTTTCAATTGTATTGACTAATAATTTTTTATCATTACATTTTATCCGTGCCTGTCATGTCATTATTTCTTGTATCTCCACCACATTTGCTGATTGTCAACAAAAGTTGACAGATGCAAATACATTTTTATTGCCAAAAAAACATTATTTGAGCAAATAGAAAATTGTCTATGAATTCTTAAAGTAACAATTTTTCTGGTCAGATGTTATTCTTTTTTTTTCTGTAAAACTCAATTATTTATAAGGGAATTCATTCCAGAATATAGTTATTTTTCTATCTATCTAAAATTATGAATGGATTTATATATTAAAGGAGGTAAAATTATGTGTTATTCAAATCAACAAATTAATGCAAACTATAAATCTAGTTTGAAAATGAAATAAAATTGAAACTGTTTTCAGAATAATAATGGAGATATTGTGAGCTCATTCAACTCTTCTTCAGCTTTAAAAAAAAATTAAAAACTTAACAAAATAAAAGAAATATCACTGGTAAAAACCTGCATTAAAATTTTCATCGTCCTCCATACTGCGAATTGCTGCTTCAATCGCATCAAGAACACTCCCAGTAGCATTCAATACTCGATGACCTTCAATAGCTGCTTTTTTAACTCCATCAAATTTACCTTGCTTTCTGGAGTCTGGAATATCTCCAGCTCCTCCATGGACTACAAGAACAGGCTGTATCATTGATCTACTGTATGTTGCAAAATATGCAATTATCTAAAAAATAAAAATAAAATAAATCTCAATATTACCATACATAAATGAAACAAAAACAAATCAACATAAAATATCACCATGAAAGCCTTAAGAAACATCTTAACATGCCACAAGCATCAAAACACAAGAAATATTTATAAACAGGTCAATGACTTGAATGGGTACAACCTTATGAGAGGAGGGATACACAAGCAATAGTAATTTATTCATGGGATATTTTAATTAATTTATTTTCCTGAATAATATCTTAAAATTATGATTTTAATGAAATATTAAAAAAGAAAAATGTTTAAATTTACTTCTATGTTAAAAAATGCCAATCAATAAAGCAAACCAAAAATAAACTAGGATAAATTATTTTAAACAATTTACAAGTTAAGAATATAATCACTAAGACTTACATGCAGTAGGAATCCTCTCACACAATTTCTAACTATCTAAATATTTGATACAAACAAAAAATGTTCTTGATAAGATAAATGTGTAGAACAACTCTTTACTTGTTAATCACACTGTTCAGATCATATTTTTATTCCATTCAGATTACTTTTTGATGTGAAAAATCACAGACGCTTTCTTGCTGGATTAAAATAAACAAAACTTCCAAAAACTAGATAAAAAGCATTTAGTACAGAAAAGCAATTGAAAATACTCAATTTTTTTAGAGGAGCCATGAAGCAGGCTTGAATTAAGTTGTTACTGTTCTTCAAATGATGTATTCCCCCTTTAATTTTCACAAAATATAGGTTTGTTTTAAACCTGAAAAATTACTACAACGTTTTTCAACTTTTGCCGAGTTAAATTTGTTATAGGAAAAGAGGGTTCGGAAAAAACGTATAAACCATAAACAATTACAAAATTATATATTTATTAATTACGAAATGTAATTGTTTATAGTTGTAATGTAATTGTTCTCCATCAACATAAAATAATAGACTATCATCACCTGGATTAAAATTATATGATTAATTGTAAATCTTTTAGGCGTTAGATAATTTTTAAGATAATGAATGAAAAAATAATTTTATTTTGGAATACATAAACAATAGCATTTAGTGTTTATTTAAACCTTTTTGTTCATTCATTCAAAACGCGTCAAATTGTTATTTCTTTGTAAAAATATTTTCAAAAGAAAACTTAAGTTCAGTTGCACATCGAATTCCGAGCAGCGAGGATAAACTAAAACCTTATCGGCACATAAAGTTGATTAGTTTCAGTTTGAATACACTTATATAATGGAGAATGTTTGCCTTCCGGATGAGAAAAGGAACACTCTTTTCAATCCACTTCATGCCTAATTAATCAAACGCTTTCAAATTTTTTTTCAAATTTTTCTATAATAACAAAAGGTATCACAAATAAAGCGAGAAAACATGTGATCCATCTTCTTGCTGAGATTCGTAAGTACCTAACAGTAATAAATCGTGTTCGAGACAAACCAAATTTTTAGAAAAATTATAAATGTTTCAATTTAAAAGTGTTTTTATCTTCTTAATTGTAAATTGATTTAACCTTGCCGACATTGTAGATTAATATATGTTTAAATTAGCATTATTTTCAATTAAAAAAGCCAAGGGACCAATCCATTGTGTTGGCGTTTTTTTACTCTCTATATAATACTACCTTATTGTTTAAATTTCACAACATTGTTATTCAATTCAGTCTTTACTCTTTATTGTTAAAGTCAAAAGCTGTCGTACAAACTTGAGAAACCTGAGTGTATCTGTGAAAAGTTTTCTTATACTGGAATTCTTAACTTTTTTTCGGTAATATGATTTAGCATTCTATGTTGTATAATTTCTTTTTGTTTTATATTTAAGTGTAATTTTATTTCTGTAAATGGCAAAATATCATATTTTAAATGGACATAAAATTGTGTTTTTTCATCAACGAGGATTTACAATCAAGTAATTTAAAAAGAAGTAAAAGGCTTTATTTCTGAAATACATTATATCATTTTTTTTTTTATTAAATCTTGCCAACTGTTGATTTGAAATGTTCAAGAAGGATTAAAAAAGATAGTTTTGCTGCTAAACATCATTTTAAATTATTTTGTTTATAGAAAAACTAAAATTGTGGCATAGAACTGATTCAGGAAATAGCCGGACGTTACAGGAACCCAAGTTTTATCTTCCTTGATCCGAAGGAAACTCATTTGGCCTGAAAGGCTGTGAACAAGCGAAAAAAGTTCAAGTTTGCCAAAGAACGCGAAAATTTGACGAAAGAAGAATGGAACAAACTTTTATGGACAGATGAGTCAAAATTTGAAATGTTTGGTTCCGGAAGGGGGCAATATGTTAGAGAAAATCTATAATGAAATTTGCGGATGAATGTTGAATGATTTGGGAGTGTGTTTCTAGATCTGGAGTAAGAGACATCATGTAAATAGACGGAAAACTGGATGCTAAACGGTACCATAGCGTCCTTACATACCATCGGAGCTTTAGCTGATTGGGCAGAACTTTATTTTTCAGCAAGATAGCAATCAAAAATATGGTATTTTGTCATTTCCTGAAATAAATATTACATTAAATAGAAAAAATAAATTTTTTTTTTAAATAAACCAGTTTACAATAAATAAGATAAAAACAAGTTTAAATTGAAAGATTTGTCATTTTTCAATTTTCTGTCACATTAGGCTGAAGTCTTCCTGTGGAACTTCCACTCTCCTCCCCATCCTCTGCGTCTATAACTATCCTTAATTAAATTATCAAAGCAAAAAAGTAAGCGTGGGGATGTGTGCCTATCTCCTCCCCATCCCAAAAAATATTATTGTTCTCCTATTTTATTTACAATTAAACTTACTGCCTGTTCCACATTTTCCTCTTTTTCTCTGCTCTAAAAGGTCCCAAACTGAAACCTCTCAATAATATGGTGATCTACAAACATTCGTAACTCCGTGAAAATGTGCCACACCTCAAAAATTTTAATAGCATAACTTGAGCCAAGCCAACCCATTCTGGGAACCCTTGGCCACAGGGTTGAGCATGATCTTGGCCTAATCACATGGTTGTACAATAGTTATTGTACTTTCTTATAAAGTACTGAACCTAAGGTTCTTCGTGGGCAGTAATGGTGTAGGGTTTTTTAAACGCTAGCCTTTCACAGTCCAACTTTCAAGGACTATTTTTCATATAGAACTACCACTAGATCATGCATCATGCAAGAAAGTGACAACTCTTAAATGGTAGCAAGATGATCTTAATGACCAGCTCATAATAAGCCGTGGAATACCCATTACAAGTAGAAATGCCTTCAATTTTTGTAATTTTACTACTCCAAATAAGGCAGTGTAACGTTGGCATTATCCAAACAACTAGAAGTCGTAGAAAAGATTTAACTTTTATTAGGTAAATAAAAAGCAATTAATATTTTTGAAGTTTATTATTATGATCCAACCTAGGACAGTGAAAATGAAAATTTTGTGAGACGCACCACGATATATCCACCTGGGTCAGATTTGTGTCCATCGCGGGACATTCACGATCTTCGTATTCCCGTGGATAAGCAGAAACTAATCGTGCTCCAGAAACTAATGCTGCAATAGATGCAGCGATCTTGAGGAATAATATCCCGTATATTGAAGAACGTCTGTTGAGAATTTTCAATGAATGTTTAGATATGGGATACTTTCCAAGAAGATGGAAAATCGCTGATTTGAGAATCCTCTATAAGAGAGGGGATAGGGAAAAACAACTCCCTAATTCATATAGACCTATACGTCTCCTCCCTGTGACTAGCAAGGTCCTGAATAACCTCATGATGACTAGTTTACATCCTGTTTTTGCTAGGGCAAGTCATCCATGGCAATATGGATCAACCAGAAGCAGAAGAACCGCTGATGCCCTGCTGAGAGTGCGTCATGTTGCTACGTTTCGGTATACCCTCCGTCTTCGACAGCGTAGCGTAGCCTAGCAGCTGCAGAGGTACGATGCTCCCAGTTGCATATACACTCCAATGAGAAGTTACTTCTAGGACAGAAGTGTGAAGATTAGAGGTAATTACTGCGAAGTAGAATATTCTATAGAGAGAGGTTGCCATCAGTCTTTGAGATGAGTTACTGAGAGTGTTAGATGAAGAGCGGTTTCCTGCCACTGCCTACGTTGACGACCTAGCTACTGTGATGGTCTCCAACAGTAGAGCTAGAGTCAAGAGAGAAGCAGAGCGATGCGCCGACCTAGTCGCTAAATAGTGTGAGAGGAAGAATATGAGGATGGCTGCTACAAAAACTCAAGTCATCCTCCTTAAGGGAAAGTCTGAAAGGACACACCTTATAACGATGTACATAGAAGGCCAGAGGATACGTCCAAGTGAGGTGGTAACCTACTTAAGAGTTAGGTTAGGTGTTGGTCTGAATATGACACCTCACTTAAAATATCTGGCAGGTAATGTGGCCCTAGCAATGAACCTTCTGGTTCCGAAGCCTCACACTGAGACAAAGACATAGGCTAGCATTGACTCAGAGAACTGCAGTGCATATAGGTCTATGTAGCGTGAAGCAGTGCAGGTCTTAGTGGGGGTGGTGCCTCTCGACCTCCTCCTGCGAGAAGAAGTGACCAGGTACGATTACAAGAAGGAGGGCTCAACGGGTCTGTCGGAGCACTTACTGATGAGGATTATTGAAAACCCAAATAAATGAAAAAAGATAAACCGGGAGGAAACAATTGAAGATTAGAGCAAAAGGTGGGTGACAACTCTGAAAGACAGTACCTTAAGAAAACACTTCCCCACCGTCCAATCTCAGTTTCAAGCGAAATGGATCCTCCCGAACTACTGAGTTTCACAATTTCTCACAGGGCATGGAGATTTTAGAGCTAAACTTCATGACCTCGGACAGAACATAGAACCCCACTGCCCCGCTTGTGGTGTTCCGGAGACTGTTGAGTATTTGGTCATGACATGCACTGCTTTTGATGGATTAAGAGCACCACGGGAATTAACGTCCCCACTGAGGACTTTCCTCAGTTGGTGAGGGAAGAAAACTTCCCGTCGTTCAAAGACTTCATAAATGGCTGAAAGAGGACGGACGGTCTTCAACTTAGGTGCCCGCAGAAGGAGAAGAGGACCAGTGCTGGAAGACCTCCGGATTCGGGATCCCAGGCTTAATTTGTGAAAGAATAGGGAAAAGTAAAAGAGCTAAAAGAACTAGCTTGCATGCACAGCTTGGAATTTTCTAAACTGATATAATTACAGTAGTGTGTTATTATGCATTAACTATAAAGTAATTACATTTTCTTTATAAAACTACTCGACTGCATAATTGTGTATACAATTAGAATAACCATCGACAGAGCGAGATTACATAAGGTGCATTAGAAGTTCATAGTCTTCTAGATCACTGTAAGAGTCTCCCCTTAAAGAGCTTACTGCATCTGATTGTGAAAAGGAATATAGTCCAATGAAAAGCATCGCAAACTCTTAAATTTTACTACTGTCGTTATTATGTTCTATATTTGTTAGTTTTGCTTCGATTGACCATTTAAGCTTATATATATGAGCTTTTATTTTATCTTAGTGTTTGCATATAATAATATCACTGTAGATATTATTACATTTTGTATTAAATTATTTTTTTATTAGATAGCCTATTGTATATAAATTGTGCAATTATATATATATAGATATGTAATTTCTTTTTTTTTTCATCACAATATTAAGTAATTTTGAGAAGATTTTATGTTCATTTATGTATATATCTTTTTTTTGTTTATTTCTTAGTTGTTACATACTACTTTTTAAATGATGTATATAATGTTAGAATTTTTATAAGTTAGTTTTTGGCCAGATTTGTATTTTATTTTGTATTAATTCATCTTTGTTATTCTAAGGGGACTTAGTCCCAGAATAAAGTTCAATTTTCTATTCTATATAATTCATATTTTTTAAAAATTAAATTACCTTTAGATACTCAGTTTGGAGAAAATTGATCCAGATATTTCAGGAATCCACTTTTTCAAGTAGTTTAAGATATTACTTTCTGGTTATCATATGACTTTCAGGCAAGTAGGAAACTTTGATTTGATAAGAGATGTTCTGTATTACAGATTTACTAATGAGTATCCCTATAATCAACTTTAGCAAAAATATGAAATATGTTTTAACCATTCTCAATTTTTTATAATACTGAACATGTTCGTGTCACTGAAATTTATTCTATTTTCCAACAACGTCATAGCAGAAAGACATACTAATATTCATCATTTTATTAAAATAGAAAAACTTCTATCACCTCTGGATGGATCTCAATACCTGCCTCAAAATCTTTAGGCATATCTAAGCTGCCATTTGGGCCTAAATCCTAACATCTTCACAAGTTGATTAAGTTCATGTGGGAGATTCATTTTCTCTAAATAATCCCGATTTATGCTGTCATGTAGATCTCATTGATCCTCCGGAGGAAAAGATGGCCATCATTCTGACTTTGCATCTTCTGTAGACAGAGCATGAGATAGATCTCATGCTCATTTAATCTTCCAGCATCTTTTTTTTTTTCTGTAGATCTCAGATTTCTATAGGTTCTGTAGGATCCTGGAACATTCTAAGATGAGCCCCATTCATTCTTCTTCTTCCTTGAATGCATTATTAATTAAAAAGATATTTGGATGATTTTCTTTTATGCGTCATTGTTTGAGATAAGCTTTCCATTGAATATCCACATCATTGTAAACACTCAGATAATTGCAATGAATACAGTCATTTTATATTCATTCACCTTTTTTCTGGTAAGTTAACCACTGGTTTGGTTAGAAAGATTCCAGCCTACATTAACGGTCCTCCAAGCCAACTGAACACGTCTTTCTTCCCTGCAACACAAGGAGGTTCCTCATAACACTTTAGTATAACTTGATAGCACTTTCGTACTCTCATACAAGGGAGCTGGTCATGATTGGGGGATTAAACGACTTGCGAGAGAAGTCTCAAGACAGTACTACCCATCAGCTAGTGGAGTATTTTAATAAAACTAAAAAACTCTTCACCAGCTTATAAAACTGCAGTTTCACCAAAGGAATCAGTTGGAGAAAATAAAATACACATGGAAATTCAAATGAATAAAAAAATAAAATATATATTTAACATTATCTTACAGTTCATTACTAAAGTAAATATTTATAATAAGCCTGTAACAGAAACGTTTACAACACTTGCTTCCATAAAAAGGTGTTAGTTTTACGAATTTCATTTCAGCAGTACACAGCATTCAATTATTAAAATAACAGTAATTATTAAAACATATATAGATTCTAATTTTATACAATGTAATGCTAAAAAATAATCATGAAGACTTATTCTTGAATACAAAATTAACAGTATCTCCTACTTCATTTAGGCCCATTTCCTGAAAATAAAATTTATTATCAATAAAAATTTTTAGAAAGGCAGTTTAATTATGAACAGCAGCAAAAAATAACATTACTGTACCACAGAACAGTTTTGGATGAAACATTAATTAAATACAGTTTTAAAAAATATAATGAGTTTATTTTATTGGATTTTTTTATTTAACTATATTTTATTTTTAGATAAACCCTGAAATGATTTTTTTTTTTCATTTAATAAAATATCAAATTCATAAAATGAAAGTAAAAAAAAATTACATCATGAAATATTAAAATTTTTACCAAAAACTTTTAAATGACATTGATTTTTTTAAGCAAAATTTATTAGTATTTAAAAAACAAAGATAACCTAAAAGTGACTGTTTTTTATCATAAAATTTTTGAAAAATAATTCAAATTTAGTAACTTCCAAGACCATAAATATTTTTTTTAAAAAAAGATATTGAAAGTTTCTTCAAAACACTAAAGTACAAGATGGTACAAGACTAGAAAAAGAAATATCTGAAAATTTAGTAGACCAAATCAATCGAGTTGTTTCCAAACAGTTTAAATTGCATTCCATTGGTGCTCGATTCAATTGATTGATGGATTACATCGATGGAATTTGCACTGCATTTAGAAACTTTCCTTATCTACATAAAGACAATAACTTGTATTGTAATAAATATAATAATAAAATAATTAATAAAACTATTAAGCAATAATATTTTCATGATAAAGTATCATAAGAAATAAATAAAAATGAGATACTAACAAGCAGCAGGTGTTCGGATATTGGTTTAGCATGGTGTTCCCATTGAAACAGCTGGTTCATCCTCAGGCTGCATTTCATTGAATTTTTTTCAACTAATAACTCAGCTTCCCTACACGTCAATTCTTCTTCCTCCGACTGTGGTATACTACCATCACCGATGCAATCACAATTTAGACTTGTATGGGTTATACACGCATCACTGCTAACAGAACTAAATAAATCCTACAACAAATATAATATACAATATATAAAATGTTATACATGAAGTAGTTAAATGTGGTTTCAAATTTAGGTAATAAAAAAAACTAATAATGTATTTGCTCTAGACCACACGATAGAAGTGAAAACATCAATAAGACGAGATTAATAATATGAAATATAAATTATAAATAATAGGCCATTACAGAGAGTATGAAATCCCTCGCTTATAGTATGCAGGTCTGATTTTTAGTTTCAGAGATTTTAATCCATATCTTCCAAGAAACTGGTTATCATTTGGTTTCCGATACTATTTTTTACCTTTTCGCCTCTTTATTACGCCATCGCGTTAAGATATAGTTTGGAATAATAGCTCATTATAAAGAGGATGATATGATGAACATTTCCCTCTCTAACAATATGCAGGTTCAATTATTAGTTTTTCATTCCAGCTGACTTTACCCGAGCATTACACATCGGAAATCTGATGGCTCAATCTAATTCGCTCTTCACAAAAAAGTGTAAAACGCGCAAAAGAATTTTTCAGTTCAAGAAAGGTAGAAGTTGTATAATTATTTGATGTTCTAGTGGGAAGGCAAGGTAAAGACGACGAGGTTAAGCTTTTACAATTTTTCCAGGTCACTATGAATGGATTTAAGAACTGAAATTTCTATGAGAACTTCTTCAATAACTTACCTATTACCATGAGTTTTTTTTTAATTGCCTCTCTCTCGTATTCAAAGGGATGAAACCTGAGTTTTCCCAAAAATTGTCATTTTCATCATCTTACCCCAGCAATGGGGTAAGATGACAAAAAGAACAGAGATTTTAAAGCATCAAAACAAACTACTTAAACAAGAACTTCTAGCTCTATATCTAGCCTTATTAACACATCACTTAAACAAGAAATATAAGACTGTGAAAGGAACCACAAACTGTTATTAGATTATACAAAAAGTGAAATGTATTTCAATGCAGAAGTCGCATTTATAGGCCCTGTGACTTGCATATGTCTGGTCCTAATCAGATGTACATTCATTTGTTTATACTAGAGACATTGTCCACCAATACACAAATCTTATGCTGACTACAACATGCTGCTATCTCATTAATAGTGAGAAATACTAATTTTGTCATCTTACACGCCTCCTCTTATACTAACCAAGATACAATCAAGATTTTACTTATTATTTGTTTATACCCAATAGAAGGCTTGAAAAATAAGCCAAAACATCAGTACACATTTAATATTATGTAATTATGATTTTTTTTTCTAAAAAAAAAAAAAAGGAAACCAAATAAGGTATAAATATTGTCATGAGAATTTGATATTTTTTTTAAATTATTCTATGAGTTAACAGCAACAGTTTGTCACATCATCAACAATCAAGATTTCTTTAATTGATTCCGATCAACTCTAAGTAATTCAAACTATATGTGATTCAGTGAAATGGCAATGACATATTTTACCCTATTCTGAAACATATTATGTTGTTAAAGATTTACTTTTTAAGAACTTCAAGAACTGTGAGACACGAAAATAGCTGCAAGAATTAATGGACATGTTAATTAATTGTACTGTAACGAAAGAAATTTATAAACTATATACAATTTAATAATAATGCCGAACAAATTTATTGGTGTAGTCACCTTTAGTTCATCTAATGACAGTTTAACATTACTCTCTGAAGCTGTATCTACAATAGATTCATTGAGACCTGCTTTACTTAACTGGCGTTGGAATATTTTCTCTTCAATTGTACCAGAAGTCAGGAATCTGCATTTGAAAAACAAAAATTTTAATATCATTAATATTGAATAACTACTTAATAAAAATTAAAAAATATAGGATAAAATAAACTCATTACCTGTAAATAAAGACTTGTTTCCGTTGGCCTTCCCTCCAAATCCTAGCCATTGCTTGAAGATCTATCGCAGGATTCCAATCTGAATCATATAAAACGAGACGAGAGCCACCAATCAGGTTCAATCCTAATCCTCCGGCTTTATTGCTCAGGAGCAAAACAACTATCATAAAAAAAACAACATGTATTAAACTGTTGGTATTTATAAATAAAACAATGACATTAAACACCACTTACATACATCGGAATTCTTGTCATTAAATTTATTGACTATAGACGTCCTGGCAGAAAGTGGTGTCGAACCGTCAAATCTTTCATACTTGAATTTAAATCCATCGCATACCTTCTCAAGTAAATCTAAAGTCTATAAATCAGAACAAGTAATAAAATGGATAATCTTCTCATTAATTGATTTTGTCATTAATTCTAAGTATACATGATTCACAGAGAGAATGGTAATGATATACTTTGCATGTGCCCGAGCAAGCACTATAAATAATAAATTTACTATTAAGGTAAAGTCCTAACCTACAAGTTTGAATAGATATGTTTAATAAATTTACTTTTTAAACACTTGGGATAATTTTTGAGCCCTGAAGATACAGGACACCATGTCATTTTTTTTATTTAATAATTTAATAACGAAGAAACAAATTTTAACAGCTCAAAGTTATGGAACATTGGTTCCCTGAACAAATAAAAAAATGTGACATTGTGTCCTTTACCTCTAGAGTACAAATTTAGTAACAAAGAAACAAATTTTAATAGCTCAGAGTTATGAAACATTAGCCCTCTTGAACAAATACAAAAATGGGCATGATGTTTACCTGAGAGGTACAGATTTATAACAATCTATACAAAAAAAAAAAAAAAAAATCATCTGCTTTGTTTAAGAAAAGTATATAATATGAATACCTAAGAAATTTGCATTATATTGGGTTGGCAAATAAGTCCTTTCGGTTTTTCTGTTTATTCTTATGTCACTATGATACACTTCTTATCTGATGAATAATCCCTAAGGTGGATTGTTTATTCTGTTTGTAATATGTTAACTCTTGTTGAAACTAACATAATATGTTTGCTATTGCACAATGAATATGGCAGAAAATATCATTCATTATCAGTATATTTTGTTGTATTATTTTTAAAAAAGTAAGCTCATAAAAAAATTGCAGTGTTTATGGGGATGATGCCTTAAACGAACGCACCTGTCAAAATTGGTTTGCCAAATTTCATTCAGGAAATTTTGACATCAATGATGCTGAACTGTCTGGTCGCCCACATAAAATTGAAACTAGCAATGTTAAGGCCATTGTTGATCCAAATCCCACCCACTCAGTGCGAGATATTGCTATGGTTCTAAATGTGTCCCACACAAGCCTAGAAAACCATTTGCACAAGCTCGGCTATGTTTCCAGGCTTAATGTTTGGGTCCATCACATGATTTTTTTTCGAAAATCACAAAAATTGTTATAACTTCAATATGACTTTAGCTATCTACATGAAATTTAGCAGGAATTTAGGGCCTCATAAATTACACAAAATGACATCAACAAGACCTTTTTAAACAAACTACAAATGGAGATAAAAAATAAAAACCTATAAAGAGTTTTTGTTTATTTATTCCCTATGTAGGCATTAAATCAAAAACCATTCATACGGCTTTGAAGAGCAATAATTCAGTTCTCCAATGGATATAGTAACATTGAATTGGAGAACATCCTGCAGAGTTATGAATGATCAGAAGGGTTCTGTGTTCCACTAAGACCTGGACACCAAGCCCCACACCTCATTGGTCACTCGCAATAAATTATTGAGTCTTGGATGGGACCCTTTGCAACACCCTCCCTATTCACCAGACCTAGCTTCAAGTGACTATCACTTATTCCGAGCTCTTTGCAGAACTCCATGAATGAAAAGAAATTCCAAAAGGAAGTGGACATCAAAAACCACTTGGATCAGCTTTTTAACAATAAATTTCAGACATTTTATGAACATCGCATTATGCAGTTAGTGGAAAGATGAGGAAAAGTCATATTAAATAATGGTCAATATATTTTAGATAAAAATAAATTTTATGCCTATAATACACTGAGTTTTATTTCACTCTGAAAAACCGAAAGGACTTTGCCAACCCAGTACATAGAAAATGTTATAAATATAATTTGAATTTGCTTAAAGCCAAGATATGGTTAATGGAAATGGACTAGTAATTAGTGGTTCGGTACAGTTAATAAGTTAATCGTTTATCTCCGGTCCATAACAAAGTTAATATGGTCCAGTAAGTTACGTATAAGTTATTGATTCCAATTTCAATGAATTCTTCATGAAGGACTTTTTATTGCTGACCCCTAGACTATTTAGAATAAACCCTTTTAATCAGGGGCTATGTCATAGTTTTATGTTAACAAGTAAACTTATTTCATATATATTCTATGAATCACAATTAATTGTATTCATGTTGTACATAAGGCCTCCAGTAAGAAAGCTATTTCAAATTAATAATGCAAATTGAATAAAAATAATCAAATAAATTATTAAATTTAGTTCTTGTTTTTGTTAATAAAAACTGTTTGAAAGACATAATATCAAAATATTTATAAACTTTAAATCATACCTGTGTGAAACATGAGACTATAACTATTCTTTCATTTTTAGAAGACAAAAACTTCAAAAGACTAATTAGTAAGTTTAATTTTCCTGAATCTTTAGACAAATCCACAGAAAACGGATGTTGGGAAATAATGCGTTGGATAGTGTTTGAGAAGTCTCCCTAAAAATTAAATAAAATACAGATAACAATTGAAGCAAAATAAATTAAATGAAAATTAGCAATAAAGATACATACATTAATTGCGGTTTCTTGAGGAGAGCCATTAAGGAGAATAGGATGGTTACAAATTTTCTTTAATGCGTGTATTATTTGAAGATGCATACCTGCGTGAGATGCAGAAGAATCAGAATTTTCTATACATTGATTATACCATAATTCTGTAACGGCATTATAAATTTGTTTCTAAAAATATACACAAACATTATCAATATTATTTTATTACAAATTAATTAAATGAATATATAAATCTAAAACATAAGAGGAATGTTATTTCTGTCTATGTCATATGCTGACTTATATCAAGGGAATATAATATTAAAATACGCATATGTGCAAGGGTGGTCTGAAAAGTTTCCAACCTAAAAAAAATACAAGACATTTTTTGTAATTTTTTTTTTTTTTTCAACATAGTCTCCTTGTAATTCTACACACTTCTTCCAGGGATGCTTCCCTCATATGATAGTCGTTTAAAATAACTCCATGACTATCCCAAAAAACAGTAGCCATCACTTTCCCAGCCAAGAAAAAAGTTTTTGCTTTTTTTGGAGCCGGTTCTCCCTTTGCAGTCCACTGTTTGGACTATATTTCTGTTTCGGGCGTATAATTATAATGGTATATCCAAGTTTCATGTACAGCAATCAATCAGCACCAAAACTCGGATTTATTGTGCCTAAACTGCACTAAAAGAGCATTGGAAATGTTTATTCAAATACATTTTTGGTCTAACATGAGCAAACACGGCACCCAACGTACGGACAGCTTTCGCATATCTAAATGTTGATTCAATATGTAACAAACATGTTCTTTTGACATGTTCACAACCTCTGCTATCTCTCTCACTTTAATTCGGCGGTCGTCTATCACCATTTGGAGAACTTTGGCGATATTTTTGTCAGTAGTTGCAGTTTTTGGACATCCGGAACGTTCATCGTCTCCCAAGCTCTTACGGCCACGTTTAAATTCAGCGGCCCCAAATTTCACTGTGTTAAATGATGGTGCATAGTCCCCATACACAGAATCCAACTCACCTTTGATTGGCGTAGGCGTATTGCCTTTCAAAAACAAATATTTAATGACAGCTCGATACACAATTTTGTCCATTTTCACAAAAATACTCACTCAAATGACTATTAAATAAAAACTGTGCATATAAAATGGCTGAAACTTTGGTGGGTAACTGTCAACAGATGAACAACGAAATTCGCTTGCTTTTATTTACGAGTGCTGCCATCTTCACATTGCAGTTGCAAACTTTTCAGACCACTCTTGTATGTGTCACATAAATCTATGTTTTTAAATAAAGTTTTACCTGTAAGGCTGATGCAGAGCAGAAGACAACATATTCATTTTTTACTGGTAAGAACTTATCAATAATGGCTTGCGTTCGACGCAATATAAAGCTGCTAGTCAATCTACTCAATTCGTCACTTTTTTCTTTCCCTTCTTTTATTGTGTCTTCGCTAGCTTGAGGTTCTTTGGACGCTAATATAGCCTTTGCATAATTCTTCTGAAAATCTAAAAAAAAATATTCTAAATAAATGAAACAATTTTACATGAGTACAGTAGATAGATAAAGAAGTAGGTGAAGAAATATGTTGTATTACACTACATGAGAGAATTTACAGATAAAAGTGAGTAAATAATTGTACTATAAGGTAGTATGAATAATGAATTATTTGCTAAAGGAAATTTTATAGGAAAGAGTATACTGTGGAATTTGAGGAGTGGACAGGGTGAGAAATTAAAAATGTATCGAAAGCGAATTAATAAAACTTTAAGAATAATTATAAAGATGTACAGATCTACGGTCAATGAGCACATTAAATTGATTCAGCACAATCTAATTAATATAATTCAATAAATAATAATATAAGTTTATATAAAGTGAGAATATGACAGAAACATCAAACAGTTTTGCTTTAAGATTTTGCCATATTGAATTGTATAAAAGGTCAATTGTTTAGAAAAAAAAATCTGGTGCCCGCAACACACAAATAATAATATAAGTTTTGAAAAGATAAGTTTTGTTTGATAACTAGGCATTATACCTTCCTTACCTTTAAGAGTTCCCAACACACCAGGATTCACTAAATCTATGAGAGAGTAAAACTCCTGCAAATCATTTTGTACAGGAGTACCGGTAAGTAGAATTCTTCTTCGACATGGTAATGTATTTAACAGCTTAAAAAAAAAAAAATGATAACCATTTAGACCCAGAAGTAGCAAGCCTTAACCAAGATTAATAATCAATGCAAACCTCATTGAGAGTAAAGATAATAGAAATGGGTTCACCGAAAAATACTATTAACCCTATAATGATAAGTCGAGAGGGAACCAGGCCCAGGCGATGGACCATACCCTGGTGACGGAGGACTCACGCATGAGTTGGGAGCCAGTCTGGGTCTGTGCTACGGCAAGCATAGTATTTTTTTCAGATTGTACTTATTACCTATCTCTGGTACATGTAAAATGTCAATTGAACAATAAGATTAAATAAACAATTTATAACCAGTATTTTTTACAAAAAATAAATTTATAGTATAATGTTTTACATATATTACTTCCACCGTTAATATTATAACATATTTCCGTATTTTTATTTTTTTTAAAGTGAGAATATGACAGAAACATCAAACAGTTTTGCAAGATTTTGCCATATTGAATTGTATAAAAGGTTAATTGTTTAGAAAAAAAATCTGGTGCCCGCAACACACAAATTTCACTTACCACTCAACTTTAAATAGAAATTACTTTCTGGCCATGTTGGGGTATTATAAAATGTATTAATTGCATTTTTAACTGAACTAAAGCTAAAAGATTACAGTTAACAAATCATAAACACTATTAAAATAACAAAAGTCCTATTTATTATATCGCCGGATGATTATGGATTGTACAATCCATTGATTAAGGATTGTACGACTATTAGTTATTAAACTTTTATTTTCCATTGCAAAGTTTACTACAACAGAATTAAGAGATTTGCATTGTCTGTCATAGAGAGGTCAAAAGTTGTCACACTGATTGTAAGTGGATTCTGTTGGAATATCACAAAGGGAAAATTGATCAAATTATTCACTAATTTAATTTTCTAAAAGGTTACATAATGAGTTTTTGGAATAAATGGACGATAGATACCTAATTATTTAAATATAATATGAGATCTAGAGTTATTAAACTACAGTAAATATATTTAAGGTTATAAACATATCCATGAAATATTTTTATATTTCACTTCTTCTTTCACACAAGTACAATGAAATAGTATCTTAAACAATGCCATTGCCTTGAATCCGTGGATTTTAAATACTTTTTCAACCTTAAAAAAAAATTTTAAGTTTACATTTAGTAAGAAAATTTCTTTTATTTCCTTGAAAACACCTGATTAACGTTAAATTATGTTAGTTTTTAGAAATTCCCCTTCAATAAAAGAAAGGGCTTTCAATAAAATAGTTTTACCACTATTTAGCCTTTTTATGACCGCAACCCCGGACCATCTCCTTCCTTTATAATGCAACGGTCAACTATTAAATATTCAATTATTATTTATATTTTTTTCGTCACTCTCCGTTATCTTCTACAACTTTCTATATTATATATTGTTTTTTTTAATTTTCCGCTATCCAACGATATATTGTATGTATACCATCTGACTAGTATTTCATTTTCGATCTGGGAAAGCATTTTTATTTGTTTCTCATTTATTAAATTATCAAATTCTTTCAAAAGTTATATTTAGCACTTTTTCATAACTTTGTATAATGTGAGATGATTAATGATTTAAAATAAACCATATTAAACGTACTTTGGCGGAAGTCGTATATGAACATTGGGCATTTAAGACCTAAATGATATTAAAGGTCACTTAATTATACAATGGTACACCGAGTTTAATCGAAATCGTTAGAGTTGTTTTTGAGAAAATTATAAAAATGTGTTTCAGCGTTGATATAAAGTATCACTTCCGGTTAACCGATTTTAAGGAAAAAGTTGCTGTGACATCTAAGGCATATACCTATCTTAAATACGTAATATCAGTTTCGTACAACTTTTCATTTTTGAGCTAGAATGTTCACATATATACAGATTCACAGACACACAGACCATTTTTCGGGACTTGGTTATTTGGACTCAGGGTACCTCAAAACATGTATTTCAGTTGAAAACTCAGATTCGAAAATTTCACGATTGCAATACTTTTCCTTACTATATATTACATATAGAGGTAAATGAAAGTAAAAAAAAGTTTAAACATTCATATTTTATTTTTTTAAATATATAGATCATGTAAAAAAACATTTCAATTCTATAAAATTTAGATAAAAAACATAATTTAGATAATAAAGAAGTTTGGAAGGATACCCTAAATAAAAACGCTAAAGTGGTCAGTAGACGGATTAAAAGTATTCCACTATAAGGCACGGAGAAATGTTGGCTAGTACCATCTTCCAGGTCGCTCCATCGTTTTCCCTTATCATCACTAAAAGGTTCAATGATCAACAAATATTTTCTAGGCATTTCACCAAGACTTAAATTCACTTTCCCTTAATATGTATGATGGTTAAATATTCACCTAATTCTCTAATTTAGAAAAATCAGCTTCGTAGGAAAGCATAAATAGTTTTAGAACATGGTATATAAAATAATCTTAGAAAAATTCATTCATACCGTAACTCTATTATAATTACTGATTATTACTCTTATTTTTTAAGCAGTAAGCATATGTTCACTAATGATTATTACAGAGCCAATAAGACATAAATTATTATCATTTATATAAATTTAAACATACTTACCACTGCTGCTTTAATGTTGCTATTCTTTAACCGATGGCCCTCATCACATACAATTAAATCAAATTTTAAATCCTTTAACAGATCATAACTTCTTACAAACATTTCATATGATACTATCAATACAGGTATGTGTGAATTTTTTAAATAATCTTCAGGACGGTTCTTCTACAAAAAACATTGCCAATACAATAATAAAAAATTAAAAGTTGTTTTATTATTAATTCTATAAAGATATTTCAAGTTACTTAAGAATAATTTAATTTCATACATCATAACTTAAACTTTTTTTCACTATACTTGTTTTAATCGTATTTATTACCTGATCAATGGAAAATACTTTCAATCGATGGGAGCCAATCCACCTAATAAATTCATTGTTCCAATTCTGAACAAGACTAGAGGGGACTATGACAAGTGCTCTTCTTAATAAGGGTTTTCCACCGTATGGACCCTGATTCAGTAATGTCCTAAGAAAACAAACTGTTAGCAACAAGGCATCTTTCTATTTACAGGTAATGCAACTAATATAAGCCTTACCATATTAGAGAAATACTCTGAAGAGTTTTACCAAGACCCATTTCGTCAGCAAGTATCGCACCTGTGTGCTGTAAATTTCTGATTCCGGAAATGCAACGGTACAGAAAAGTTATGCCTTCCCTTTGATGCGGTCTTAAAATACGACAAAGTTTTGCTTCCACAGTTACTTCGGTGACAGGTAAGTAGTCTGAGTTGAATTCCCACTAGAATGCAATTTATGATCAAACTACATTTTATAAAACAAAATAAAATATGTACGGAATATGATTGATGAAAATTCACATCACTAGTAAAATAACATGGCACTTCAATTAATAAAAAACAACAATCATAACATAGATTAATCCCCAACTTCCAAAACATAAATACCACAGTAAATTTGCTACTTAAATAACAAATTTGGAACAAATATAAAGATCTCTATAAAGATTCTATTCATATTGGTTTCAATATTACGAAGTATTCCTTGTATTGGTTGATTAAGCTTGTGGAAATGGAGGAATGTAGATACCCCAAAATATGTTTTGAAAAGCTAAGAGGGAAGTGTTATCAATTTAATTCTACTCTATCGAAATATAATTGTCGCGCTCAGCTGAACGAGTTACTATTGGAGAACGAGATCTAGTTTATGAAACCAACACAGCCATAATTAGGTCAAATATTGTAAGGATATTAAATCAACATAAACAAGAAAGCGTTGCATCACTCAGCTTACATTGAGCATTTGAACCTTTTTTTAAAAAAAATGGTCAGATCTCCCAGTATTTGTTGAAACCAGCTAACTTCAAATATACCAAATCATTAATGCACAGCCACCTCTCAGGAAAATAAATTATCAAAGTCTCAGTTACCAATAAAATTGTAAAAATCACTCCACAACTTGTATGCAAAATATTCAACACCACGAAAAAAGAGACACTCCATCATGTTTTATTTAAGTGTCCAATATACAATTGTTTGAGAGTAGGAATTTGTCAAGGTATGGGAAATCATAATGGGATGGAAATATTTAAGCCAATAACTATAGATGATATGAGAAAATTGTTTATTTTTTTTATCTCTAATATATTTAACTATAGAGTTTTGTTGGGGTAATCTCAAATATTGTCCTTTGAATATTTTGGCAAAAATGTAGATTAGATTTCAACAAGTAATCTGCTCCCGCCTTGTTTTCTTTCTTCTGTCTTATATATGTATATCTACCCACAAAACAATTAAAGATTAAATAAAATAAATAAAGATCTATTTGTGCATACAAAAATAGAAAAGTATTTAGTAATTCATCAAACCAATACATAAATAATATTGTTCTCTCCCTTCTTCATCAAATCTAATAGCTGGTCAGAACTTGCACTGTTCAAAATTTAAATAGACCTGAATTTTAAATTGACTCTTAAATTTCTGTAAGATTTAACTTCTTCGTGAATTTGTTTTAGATGTATAATCAACAAAACTAGAATTGTATATCTAATTTAGGAAATATATTTCTATTAAACAATTCATATGCCTCCAAATAATATAATTCTAATTAAAATAATAAGGATCATTCACAGGCGGATCTATGGTGGGGGGGGGGGCTTTCGGGCTGAAGCCCTCCCCCCTCACCCCAAAATGGTAAAATATAACCTCGTATTACTGAAAAAAAGCTTAAAAACTATCAAAGTATTCTTGTTCGTGTAATTACATTTAATAGGACTTCAAGAATCACTTAAACACCATTTCATAATGGTAGTTAATTTCTTTTTCTTTTTCTTTTCAAATTAATTATCATTATATGTATATGAAAAAAAAAATCTTTCAGGCTGAAGTCCCCCCAAAAATTAAATTCTAGATCCGCTAGTGGGATCGTTTGATGGTCATTAATATATTAACTGTCTTTCAGGGACATATAAACTTAAGTTGCTAAAGAAAAAAATTTCACATTTAACAAATCATAAACAGTTTATTACATCATCTTTTTCAACAGTTTATTAAAGTACAAACTTAAGTTAAATTAAAATATAAGTTATATAATTATAAGCACACGAGACACAGCAAAAATAAACAAATTATTTCATAAAACATTTCACATATATTATGGCCAGAGGAATCTTGTTTAGGTTGCACCTAACTTCTAAACGATTATTCAAGAACGTGACTATGTTACATAATAGGTTTCTTAAAATAAAAAAATGAAGGTATAAGTGTTTATCAAATTATAAAACCCAAAAATCATAGAAATTACTAAATTTGACAACATGTATTCAATATACACCAATAAAAAACAAGATTCAGTAAATATCTTTATTGTAGAAAAAAAAATGCTTAAAATAAATATGAAACCATGCTTAGGTGGCAGCAACAACCTGATGTTCATCTGATGGAGCTGGCATGATTAACGGATCATAACGTGAATGTAATTTACTCGTCTTCAAAACTCCTACAAAAGATTTAGAAGCTTGTGATTTTGGCACTTCAGGATTTTTTATTCTTTTAGATGGATTAAATTCAATATTTTCATCATCTTTCTCAATAGGTCGCTTCAAGGGTAATTTAGTTGACATCACAGCATCAATTACCTAGAGTGAAAAAAATAATTAAATAAATAAATAATTTACAAAAATAATTGCTCAAATTAATAATCACCTCAACTTCTTTGTTTCCAACAAAAATTCTACTGCCCTCTTCAACCGTTACATTTTTTGATCTTCTTACTTGCCCTAAACTTTTCCCAGAGTCGTCCTAGAAATCATTGGAGTACATTTTGATTTAAAAAAAAAAAAAAACTTAACATCCAAAAAAAAAAAGATAAAATGTATAAATCACCTTCAGAGTTAAATTGCTCGAACTAACTTCCAATGTACCATCTCCTTCCCATGTCTTATGCTTCTTTTTAGTTATTTTTCCGTATACTACATTGAATATTCTGAAATTTGAAAAATTAAACTTTCTAAAACAATCTTATCTCAGATAAAAACCTCTAAATCATTATTCTTAAGCTACAGCTAATGACACAGAGACCTGTGATCAGAGGAATAACTGGAAAAGAAGCAATCTTTTTTGGTAAGAAGAGGCATTAGATAATGTTATTCGTTAATTAACTTTCTTAAATTTCAGAATAACACAAATAAAAATACTTACAGGAACAATATTTCTTATCATTATTCTCAGGTAGATAATTGATCAATGTTACTGAATATATAAAATAGGATTCTGATTTTCAACATTATTGAACTAAATGCTATTTTCTATAATTGAAATAAATATTTCAAGATTAAGGTACAGTAACACTTTTTACAGAGTTTAGACTGAGATACTAAAATCAAGGAGTTGTTTTATATTCTTCCAATGGACATACATTTCACTAAAAGTTTCTCCTCTAAGTTGTTTCTCTATACTAGTTCACATGTGTCAATCTGACACAAATATCATTCATACTGTATATAGAATCCTAAAAGTACCTGTTACTATTGATTATTATTTATGTAACTATTGTAAACAAGTTCGATTATAGATGGGCTTACTAAAGGCACTGATGGGTTTAATCATAATCGATGATTACAATTATAGTAATTTTGAATACGATATGATTAATATTACAATGATTTATTACATGATTACACAATTAATATCATAATCAGGTTTTCGATTACAATTGTAATTGGATAATTACGCCACATTTTTGCTATATTAATAGTGCTGCTGTACGGAGTATAAAATTGTTTTCAGTTGTAATCATTAATTACAATTTTTCTACACATACTGTGAATAATGAGTATTTCTGCTTGTACCAAAAGCACAGATTTGGATTAGGAAAGAAAAGAAGTATTAAAATTAAGACATAAACATTGAATAACAACCATGACTAGCAGGCAATCTAAATTTGAAAACAAAAATAAAACAGCTCCAGCATTTATTTAGAAGCAATTATTTTATTCATCCAGCATTATTCAGCAATTAATTTCATAAGGACTAAATTACCAAATCAGTATAGAAGAAATTTAATACCTTAAGGATTCTTGTTTGCTTTCAATTGCCTGAGATGACACGACTGGTCGCAAATCTGGTTCTTCATAAGACTCAGAAATTTTATCATGAATACTAAACAAAGGCTGCCTCTCACCTCCTAATAGCAGATTGAATAAATGTGAGAAATAAATACTAATGTAGAGATATCAAAAAAACTATTATCAAGTAAGAAACTATTACCATTATTCTTATCTTTCAAATGGGTACCCTCAGCTAAGGTTTTGATGGGTGTTTTAAATTTTGCAAGTTCTGAGGGAGCTTTAGATCTCCTCATTGTCACTCCTATTAGTACTTTTATACATATATATATTTAATCGTTGATAATGTCACTAAAAAGAGAACTTTTAGGAACTGAAAGATTTAATACATCAAGGAATTCAGCTCCTAAAGTAATCACAATAAAATTATATGACAATTTCAAAATATGAAGGCGGGAACTACGCCAAAGAGGAACCATTCCAAAGATCACAAAAGTAATAAAACTTTATAATAGTGGTTAAATAGTTGACTGTCGTGAATAATCAAGAGAAGAATAATTGGGGTGATCAGTCAAATAAGAGGGCAAAAATAAATGATAATATTTATTTTGTCATTTATTTTTGCCTTCTTATTTGACTGATCACCCCAACTATTCTTCTCTTCATTAATAAAACTTTAATTGTGGATCTAAAATACTAAAACGTAAAATGTTGATAGAAGTTTGCCAACAGTTCTACTTATTCTGGGTTCAGAAAGTCGGGATGCAGTTAACAATTTTTTTTATTTTTTAACTAATTCCATGAAACGCAAAATGGTATAAAACCTGTCGATCATAAAAGGAAAGTACATATAAATGGCTGATTGATTACCATTATTGAACAAAAATATAATGATAAATATCATTGATCACAGTTGAATGATGTATATATCTCTTCTTTTATTTGCACAACAGTTCTCTTGGCCTGCTCAATAGCAACCAACCATTTCTCTCTTTCTTTTGTAAGGGTAACAGAAATCTTCAGTTGTCCCAGATCCCACTACATCCCTTTGGCCAACTACGTCACCATCCGGAACGTTAATGTATAATTTATGAGCCACTCTTTCCTCGCTCATCCACATAACATGGCCTTATTAAGGCCACTTAAGCCTCTGTACCTTGATATACGAGGAGATGTTACATTCCTTGTAGAGCCTAAACAGCTCACTATTTTTCCTTCTTCGCCAATTACCAATCTCACGTACGGGCCCTAAGATTCTCCTCAGAATTACCCTTTCAAACCTGTCTATAGGTAAATGCTTCTATTACTTAGGGTCCATGTTTCTCCACCGTATGTGACGATTGGACTTATCAGCATTTTGTAAAGCATAAACTTGGTGGTACGGCTAACAAGTTTGCTTTTGATTAGCCTTAAAATGGAGAAATAAGGAATATAGAATAATATATATATTATATCTATATATATTCTATATCTAGAACACTCTTCCGCGCTAAAAAAAAAAAAAGTGAATACCTTTATGAATTTTTTCCATAACGAATCTGCGATGTGAAAACAAATCGAAGTTGAGTTTCTGGCCAAAACCTAAGTAGGAAGGGGTGCTAAGTGGATCATACAGAGGTGTCCAGAAGGGGATTTCAAGGCGTTGCATCACCGAAGTTTTCGAGGAGGGCAAATTTGGACGGAAATGAATTTCCGGAGTGAAAACTTTCCAAGTAGAGAACTAGGGAGGAAAACATGGGGCAGACACAGCAAGTGTAATTGTTTATGATCTACGATTTTTCTAATTCTACTTTCGGTTTCACTTTTTTTTTATGAAGAGTAGAGTAATACAATTTTTGGAAGGAAGAGGGGAGATGATTCATGCACCATCTACCTTGGGGAATGAGCATCCCTGGGATCAGAGATACTCGTCGACTAACATCAGTACCACTGCCGAGTTTAAAGAAGATCTTCCTCCTGGATATCTCCAACTCTTGCTTATAGATTTCGTAATTACCTACCGCCTGTAAGCGAGCGAATTTAGTACCCCTTCGTAAGCCAGAAACAAATAATGCCTTAAATGAGGACACTACCAGTTGATCAGCCACTTCTTGCATATTAGCAAGATTTTTTTAACATCTAGTCTACCACCAATGCAATGAGGAGAATATTATCCTAACGGATCAAAATTGATACAACGAGGCATGGTCTGTGAGTGCCATTGGTCGCAATTTTAAGCGTTCGCCATAAGACAACGGAACAAAGCGAGGACGTTCTTTCTCATCGATTGCATTGAGGTCTTGATTCTGTGTCTTTTCCGCTTTTGCTGCTTCAATTGGAAGAAAACGTGTTCTCAGCTATCTCCCACAAGCTATCTTAGCGGACTTCCCTTCTTGTTGGAGTTACAGAAGATTTCTTGATTTAATTTCAACCTCCTATGAAATACCTCAAGACTTTGTCATGAGATCTGTACTATTCCTCATTACAGCACTAGTAGTTCCAGTCATGCATCCAAAAGCGAAAATAATAGCCTTTGCCAATGACATCAGAACCTACAACTGTTCTGTTGTAGGACCTTCGTTCTTGTATAAAAGACTTCAACCACGATTATATAAGGCCTCTAGAGGTAAGACATATAGGCGATTCCGGTGAAATCTGACACTATAGTGATGTCGTATTAGAAGAAAAAAAGTTCAAAACCTAAACATTTCACCTTGGACCAGCAAGTATCCACCTCTATCTTCTACCTTGGTGTCATTCTGAACAAGCATCTTACAATGTCAAGGAGAGGCTAAAGCATGCTCAGTAGAAGGAACACAGACTCTATCACCTGCTTATGAAGAGGTACTCTCAATGGTTAAGACAACCATCAGATCTACTTTGCAGCACGTTGCAATAATAATACCTTTACAAAAACATTAGAAGATCCCAGAACTACATTCTTCAGTGGTTGCGCTCCAAAGAAAACTGGATCTGTGATTCCATGGTATTAGCCCATGATTTAGGCGATATAGGATCCTTATACCCAAATGATATCTTTGTAATGATAATATCGTGTTTGCTTTTGGGAATGCAATTCAATACTTTTAGTTCTTTTTTTTATATGGATCTCGAGGAAAATTGAGTACTTCTAATCATTAATAATCTCTCCTTCTTCAACCACTTCAATGTAACGGAAAAAAAATATAATGTTTGATGCATTAAATCAATAGAAAAAAAGTAATACTTGAAGAATTCTCTATGGTGAACTGCAATCCTCAGAAAATAGATTCTTTGCAAAGGGTGATCTATGGAGGGTGGGGAGGCTTTCAGGTTGGAGCTCCCAAAATGGTAAAGTATAACCAGTTCTTACGAAAAAAATTATCTCAAAAAAAAATAATTTAAGGAAATACTAAAAGGACAACTCAAAGTAATTCCATGAGAAATTGAACTGTTATAAGTAAAATGATTCATTTACATCTACAAAAGAAGGAAGCCAACTTTATTAAAAACATTACATCTACCTGCCACTGATTAAAATTTGACATAGTTAAGTTTGAGTTTGGTTGATGGGGGGTGGACACTTGTGTAGTGAATTATCATCCACTATGTCAATGGTAAAGTTTCAGTTTTATTTTTTTTTAAACTATTTACATTAAGCTTTTGTGGTCCTGTGTTTGAAGTAGAGAACATACACACCACAATTAGTCAATGGAAATTAAAATCTACTACAGAACATTAGAAACTTCAAATTATTCAAGCTTTAAATGAAAGAAGCCATATACTGAATAAAAATATATCTATACAAAGAACACATCATCGGTTTATTGGAAAAAGTTATTTAGGACGTTTTTGATTAAGCTAATTTATTGTCGCCAAAAATTAGTAAATCCATCAAAACAACATAAAATTTATTATTATATCAAAAATAAATACACTAAGTGCACAAGATTCTGATTTTACAGATTTTTAATTATTAATTATTATTAACAGAATTTTAATTTAATTTGATAAAATGCCACTTAGTGAATTTTTGCATTAAATGGCGATATCAAAGAGTTCACTATGCAACTTTTAAGAAAGCTGGCAATTTCAAATATCTTGGAGCCTTAGTGACATGCAAAAATTACGTAACTGTAGAAATTAAAGCAAGAATCGCCGCAGGCAACAAATATTTTTTTGCATTACAGAAAACAATGCGTTTTCGAAACTCTACACGGATTTGTCACTTACATAGGTGAAACATGGATCCTGAATCAGGAATGCGAGAAGATCCTCCGGATCTGGGAAAGGAAGGTCCTTCGGCAAATCTTTGGGCCAATATGAATAAATGGTCAATGGAATATAAGAAATAATAGACAACTCCAAGATCTGTATAAAGAATCAGACATAGTCACTTATGTTAAATCAAGCCCTATAAGATGGCTTGGGCATGTAGAAACGATGGGTGAAAATAGATACCGAAAAAGACTATTATATGGTAAACCAGGAGGAAAAAGAAGGAGAGAAAGGCTCAGACTTAGATGGATTAATAATGTGGAGGACGATTTGCAGAAGATGAGAATTGGACAATGGAGAAGCCACTGATAGGGAAGATTGGAGAGGTGTTGTCGAGGACGAGGCCCTACAAGGGCTATAGAACCACAGAAATAATAATAATAAAAGAGTTCACAAACAAACAAGGAATAAACAACAAATCACATTAATAAAAAATTATTTTATTTAAATTTACATTCTATATATTAATAAGTAAAATAATAAAACCTGCAATTGCAACAAAAATTTCTATACCTCTTAATATTGTAAATTTAAGGTGATAAGTATATTTGAAATACATTATGAGTGTGAAAATTGATCGAACAGAAACTATTGTCCAACTAATATTTAAAAGGAATAAAATAATATGAAGTGTAGCACTGACACAATTGGAAGGACAAAACAAACTATCAAATATGCGATAAATACAATTTTTATAAAAGTCCTTGTCTTTTTAAATCTTGGTATGTTTTCCTATTCACTACGTTTCCGAGGGAATCTTCATATTCTTCTTCGTGTTCAGGTTGCCAACGTTCATCGTGTTTCATTGTTTTTAGCTTCTCCCACACTATTAAAATAAAATAATAATTAAGAGATGTCTTAAATTTTAACCTAATACAAATTACCTGAACTGGTAAAGACACTTCAGAATGTATAAATTAATATCAATAATAATAAATAATTACAAGCCAAAGCATCTTCTATTTGGGTAACGTTAGCGAAATGTGCTGTATTTGGAATTCCGAGGCAACGCATACCGTGAGCATGCCTCCACTCCTGCATATAAAAATAAAATAAAACAATTTGATTAAATAATAGCAATAAAAATAAGTATTAAAAAGCAGTAGAATGGAAGAAACATTTTTTTGCAAAATGTTTTATTTTAGTATAAACAAATTTATTAATTTTAAAATGAATTATTATTTTTAAAAAAATCAAATATTATTTTCAGTAAAACAAACAATAAATCCAATCAATACTTACAGCAAAATGTCTTTGAAAAGCCTTTGGTCCTTTATAGATAAAATTACCACATATTTCGCAATTATAACTGATGTTGAGCCCATGCAACTTGTAAAGCCAATATGGAATGGGCTGAAAAAGACAATAAGATGTGTTGTCAACAAAGCATAAATATAAAAAATATCTGATGTTTTATTATTACTATGAAAAAATAATAATAGACCAGCAAAAAACGAGAAATTTATAATAAGTATAAATTATATAAATAAGTAGCATTCATGCTTCCTTAGCAACTGTTTGTTATGGCCAATTTATTTTCATGTAATGTTTATTAAAAACTATCTATTTTTCATTTAAAATCTAAAACGCCAATGATTTTTGCTAAAAATGTTAGTAAGTATCATACTAAGAAATATCACAGTAAAAATTTACTAATTAATTTTTCAATTAAGTAAATAATATTTGCACTATATATTTTATTAATTTTTTATAACTAATAACAACTAAGTTTCATTGTAGTTGGTTCTATAGCAGATACTGCAGACTTTTTAAATTTAAATACTGTATGTCTCACTCTTTTTTTTTTTTTTTTCTTCTTTTTTTTTGCTTATCTGAAAGTCTTTCCAATCGACCCGTTTTCCTGAATGACCCGGAGAAATATATTGAGTTTGGAACTCAATGAAAGATATTATGAAATTACTTTCAAAAAATATGTATATTGTATAATTGTTACTCAATGAAAATATACATCTCTCACCACTTAGTGGCAAATAATTAAACAGAAATTAGCTTTTTTATATTAACATAAGACATATATTATCTCAACAAATGCTTGTACAGCTTTTGTTTATATTAACATAAGACATATATTATCTCAACAAATGCTTGTACAGCTATCTCATTATTTTTTAAACCAATTACATAAATAATACCTTTCCATCCCAACCAAGAGGTAAATTTTTTGGATTATACGGAACTCCATCATCTTCTCCCTCACTTTCACTTCCTGACGACGATGCTTCACCTTCCGAATCTCCTCTTTCTTCTCCTGTTCTAGCTTGTTTCCTTTGAACATTTTCTTTAGTAGCAGCTCGTTGTTCACTTAGTAATTCAGCTAACCTGATTAAAATGTTGGTTATCAAAATTGAATTGATATAAGATAAAAATGTTTCAATCTTATCCATAAAAAAAATAACAATCATAAACAGCTTAAAAAATACACTTATAGAAATCATATTTTATAACAGCACATCAACAAAACATAAATTATATTTACTTTATGTTCTGAATTCATAATATAATATCCAAATTGTTTTCCTTAATTATTTTGAACTAGTAAATGCAATGAAAAATAAAAAATATAATAACATACTTATAAGCTTGTGCTTCCAAGAATGCTATGTCCCGCTGTCTTTCAAGATCACGTTCTCGGTTTGATTTACCTGGCTTTGACTTGGCAAGTAAATTTGGATCAAGGGATTTTTTCCCTTTAGTGCTGAATAAACGCTGGGCCCTTTCTTCTAATGTCCTTTGAAAAAAATTAACAAATCAATACAAACATTCAAAGTTTGAATTAATATTTTATAACTTACGCATAAAATTTTTAATATAAAGTTTGGAAATTGATTATAATAAATAAACCAAATGGAAAACAAAGAAACTATCTGATATTATTATAATAGTGATTTATAAGATTTTATTTTACAGATCATGTTTATATGATTTAAAATGAATATATAGTTAATTGAAAATAATGATAAAATATTTACCCTCCACATTTTAATCCTAAAGCCATTAATGCTGATTTAAGTCTGTCCAGACCGAGAGAAGCCAACTCTTCAGGGGATGAAAAAGCAGATAAGTCAAGATGGGCACCAACATTGCTTAACACACTGCCAGTTTCTTTCTAAATAAGAAGGTTAGACATGTCAGTAATAATTAACATAAATTCTCTACTACAATACATTAAAATCTTCCAAATTAGTGTAAAATTAGAGGCGATAAACAAAACAATAAATAAGTTCAACAGAGATCAATAGACATGTCTACGTGTTTCTAATCTGAGAGAGACAAGAACCTCTTTAATTCTGTACCTTTAATGAAAATCAAAGTGCTTGATGGTCCAACAGCAGCCAGTGACAAATAAGGCATAGTATAAATAATTAAATAGACAATGCTAACTGCAAACTGTTTTGTTTTTTATTCAAATCAATGTTCACCAAAATCACAAATCACCAAGGCATGTCCATATCTCAACTTCAAAAAGAAAAATTAGCCTATGATTTCTTTCTTTTTTTTTTCTTTTTTGCAACAGCAGCAGAATAAATGAGTGAAAATAGCAATGGATATTTACTTCCCAGTGACAATTTTGAAAATGATTATCATTTAAGATAAGAATATTGGTATGCTTATACTCACCGGCCAACCAGGGAATGTTCCTGCTTCCCACTGTGACGTGAAGTCCTTTTGAACATTAGTTAATTCCTGGTCGAGGTCAAGCAGAGGTTTTATTCTAGCTATGTAATCACAGAGATAATTCAGGAGCATAATAACATATCGTTTGTACTCAGAACTCTTCCTATCTTTAGGGATTTCATAAAGTCGATCAAAGGTAGTAAGGTATGTTATATAATCCACTTTCTGTAATAACAAAACTTATTTAAATAAAAAGCATACATAGTTTCTGAAAACTATCATAAATATGGTTTAGAAAAAAAAATACTAACATTTCATTTATTTTTATTAGTTTGGAATAAAAAAAATACCGAGTAAACAGAATAGTTTGTTTAAAGAGGTCATTCCCAAATTGAATCAAAGTACTAGTCCACAAGTATAATATCTAGTTAAGAGGTAAGTAAGATTGCATTCATCATAGTATATATAGAATCCCAAAAGTAAGCAAGTTTCTGTCATTTATGAATAGGAGTAATCCCACTAAAAACAAATTATGGTTGGAACTAGATGTTTCCCATCCTCACTGACAAGGACTCCTGCTTGTTAACACAAGAAACCCAACTGAAAAAAACCTACATTAGAGGGCTCGTTAATGCTTTGAGCGAACCTTCACTTTTCAACATCTTAAAGAATTTTGTTGACACTTAGCTACAATCTACAATGTGGTCGTTGTGATCTTGAGCCACCTGTCATTTAGAAATGACACTAGTCAGCTAGAGATTCGGTCTTCAATCCCAAGGGTCTTGTTGAGTCATTAGTTTTAAATTTTTCAACTATGCAGTATCTGTTTTAATGCATTTTATAACATTGTTGCAATAACATTTTATTTAACAGTGAAATTAGGAAAAAAAAAATATTTGCCTGAGAAATACATGTATTTCAGGAATTACTTTTGGTTATAGGATAAAATATTAGAATACATGGAAGAAAATACAAATTTAATGTTCAACTGTCTAGTTAACGTGTCATGATGATAAAGAAGCTAACTGAGCTTTTTTTCATGCTACAGACAGAACGGGACACTAACTGATTTGATTCAAGTCTAAAAGGGATGCTTTAATCTTACTAAGAATTCTGATAAAACCAGATAAAATAAACAGAGGATTTCTACCATCCTTTACATGCAATGCTCTGACTTTTCTAGTTTTCCAAGTCACAGAAACAGTATCTTCTGTCTATGAAACTGACTTTTACACTAATTTAACAATGAAAAAAAAAAACCCTTTAATGACATTTGAATACTAAAACAAATATTAGACACAAATTACTCTCTATGACATTTAATGATTTAAAAAAAAAAAAAAAATAGGACTACAAAAATAAATAAATTTGTTGTTTATTGGAAAAAATGAATGAACACAATCCAATAACTATGATGGGTTATATATATAAATATGTAAGCTTATTGTGACTAGTAATGATTCTTGGTTAGAATAATACTTTTCAATGTATTAAAAATATGGAACTCTCCAAATATATTATGTGGTTATTTTAACATACCTCTACTCCTTTTAAATTAATATATTTTTCATAACATTCATGAAGGTCGAGATATTTTCCATATCCTTCTTCATCTGTAAATTCAACTAAATTTGATGTTTCTTCAGTGGGGTTTTCTCTTAGTTTTGCCAGTTCCTCAAATTCAACAGACATGGGAACTGAAATTTCATTAGGAATTCTGCGATAGAATTCCTTAATGGTTTTCAACCTCGAATAAAACTCGGAAAATTCATTAGGACCTGAAAGTGCAGCAACTTCATCTTTTCTTATACCATCCTTGTCTTCATACAGTTCCTTTAACTTATGAGTACTCTCCATGTACTGATCAAGAAGCATCTTGAGCCTGTGATCTGAATTTATTTGTTCTCGATAACTTGATTTTTTATGCAACATTTCTTTCACCATTGCATCCATCAACCTTTCCCGTTCCTCATGATATCTTCTCTGTTGCTCCAATATAGTCTCCATTTCTTTAATTTATCAGTAGTTTACAATGTAGTTATTATTAAGTTACAAGCTTAATACAATGTAAGAATCTGTTTTAGATCTGACAGATTTAAAATATACAGAAAGAACTATTGAATAATAAATCTTTTAATGCAATCATTAATAAATTAAAAATCCTCTTAATCAATCACAACCACAATACACAAACATTAAAGAAAGGTTAGGCAAATATCTATAATAAACACTGTGTAATTAAATTACAAAGAGGTAGTATTTTTATTAACCACTAAGATTCAGAGTACATTAAGTCAACAACTATAAGTCATTTTATAATTTCTTATATTATTACATTGATAAGTTTCATTCAATATTATTATTTGCGAAGGTTTGAATTAGGTTTATCTTCACTAACAACATATACATAAATCACAATACAATCTTATACATTACATTAAGAACCTGTAAATGAGTTAAGGATGCCGAATAATCAGGAAATGAAGTCATTTATGTTACTTAATAAGTTTTTCAACGTTTCGAACCAAACATATATAAATATATATTGCGATCCAACAATTTGTGAATCACATGCAATTTCATATTCATTAAATCATGAAATTATTATCAATAAAATGTAGGTCAAAGCTCACATTGAATTTGGCATTTATATTTCTTTTAAATAAATTTCCTTCTTATAATAAATACTTTCCTTCCATCCTACCGAGATGCTTGAGGCGATCCGAAGGCTTCAAGAAGATACAGACAGTACTTAATATCTGGGCAGCGAACAATGATTTAAAATTGAATGTTGAGAAGACCAAAGCCATTTTCATTGGATCCAAGCATCTGATCATTTCTTATTATCCTCAACTCTACCTCAATGGGATACCCATACGTTTTCACACTTCCATAAGAAACCTTGGGGTAATGTTTGATCAACATCTGACCTGGAATAATCACATTTCCCAAATTATCTGAAACTCCATTGCAACTCTCTAACAGCTCCCGAGATTCCGTGACTCTATGCCCCTTAAAATCCGTCAGCTCCTAGTTTTCTCTCTCATTTTCCCTCACTTCAATTATGGCTGTCTTGTACACTGGTGAGCTTGAGATTAGATTAAAGAGACTCATGAATTGTTTCATTAGATTTATAGTTGGAGTCCCAAGGTGCTCCAACGTCTCCAGTTGCTATGCCGAGTTGAAGTGGCTCTATCCAGTTTTCTGAACGCAATATTTCCTAGGTGTATTCCTTTTCCAAATCTTTAAAACAAATAAACCTTCTTACCTTCTTGATTTTTTTACTCCTTCTTCCTCTGTTCATTCGCTCAACATGAGACCCCAATTCTCAAATTTGTTTATTCCTTCTTATAGAATTATTTGCTTTAAAAAGGCCTTCGTCATACGTGCTACCTGGTTTTGGAATTCTCTACCAACCTCTTTACGGAAACCCTCATCCCTGACCTCATTTAAACATAATTTATTTTTCTACCTCCTCAGTAATCAATCTTCCGAATAAAAGTAAAATAAATTTATTTTGTACTTTAGAGATGTCAGTTACACTATACCGATATATTGCAAACATCAATGTGTGTCATATTGCTTATTTGTTCAAATACAGGTACTCACCCGTATGTAATCATCTTTAAATTAATATGTATGCCTACTTCAAGAACATAGAGAGGTCTACGAATTGTTTATTGAATCTAATGTGGCCAGAACAATAAAATTAGGAAGGTTGGCTTGGGCAGAACACATAGCCCGATCCCGATAAGAGTGCTTGAAGAGCCATTACACTATACAAGGAGAGCTGGTAGACCGAAACTGAGATGGGCAGGTGATGTGGCGGGTGACGCTAGAGACTTGATGGGAGTCAGGAATTGGAAAGTGGCAGCACAGAATAGAGAAATTTGACGAATTCTCATTAAGGAGGCCAGGACCCACTGAGGATTGTAGAGCCATTAAGATAGAGAGACAGATGCTTTGATAATCAACTTTATCTAACTTAAGCTCTCAGCTTATAAGCTTTTCTATCTTTTTTATTTTTGCTTTACACACAAAATTATCTTTTAAACATCAAAGTACTCTCTTGTTGTCTTTCTGCCTCTTTGGTAAAAAAAATAAATAAAAGTTTCTTCTGAACAAGTCATGAATGATTAAGTAATGATCTTGCTTGACAGTTCTGTTGTCAAGTAAACAAAAACTTTTTTCGGTTATTGTTCTCATTATTTTTATTTTTAAGTGTAGAATATTCACTGTAGCAAAATGACCGCTGAGACGTCTCGGCAGCAACAAAATAACGACGAGGGGCAAGGTTTTCAAATTTTTATGACAATGGAAAATCTAATAGACAAATTAAAGCTTTTGGATTATGAAGAAGAATTCATAAAAGTTTTGAAAATGAGACCACTAAATAGGTATGAAAATAATGGTTTAAGAATGATAATAAATTAGGATTTAATTTTCTATACTATACTGGCAAATAATCCCTACTTTATCTACAGTTATGAATGTTCTGATATGTGTTACATTTATGTAAAATAGAAATCCTGAATGTGCCTTATATTTATCAAAATCATCAATGGTCTTGTGTCTAATACAGGATCTGTGAATACAAGGGTTGTGTGCAAAGTTGAGTTATATGTTTTTTTACCCTTTTGACCTAAGAAAAAAATACCATGTATTTCCTTGTTATTTAACTATCAAACTGTTGCACAATGTATTAGATGATCTATGATCAAACAATATATAAGCATTTGCATATAGTATCTTAACGCAGAGAAAATCTAGATGTATGAAAACTACTTCAATTAGTGGCCTGCTCTGTTAGAATTCATTAGAGAACAGGACTCTGATTTCCTAAATCTCTCTCTCTCTCTCTCTCTCTCTCTCTATATATATATATATATATATATATATATATATATATATATATATATATAAACCTGTACCAATACAACCCATGAAGTCTTGGGTGCAGTACTATGTGAGGAAATAGTGTTTCAAGGCCAATGGCTGTGCAGGGAGGTGATTAGGTCGACATCACGATCATCTGCCATGTTTTCTCCCTTAATTAATTTTTAAATTAAGAGTATCCACTTTAAAGACTGAGTATGCCCAGGAAGGTCCTCGACTCCAGGGTTGATCCATAGTTAATGAAAAATTACTAGTCATTAGCCAGATTCGAACCTGGACCTTGAGCTCTGGAAGACAGTGCTCGCTCACTGAGCTACCCCGCTCCCATATATATGTGTATATATGGGGCTGGGGTAGCCATGCGGGCTAAGGTGCTTGCAATAGGTAACCAAGTTAAGCCATGCCGAGCGTGGTTAACACTTGGATGAGTGACTGCCCGATTTGGGTGGCCATCCACTAGGGAAAGCCACGCTGCCCAAGACCCCTCTCCCAGTTATGAGAGATCCGTCAGCCTACTGGAGGCTACTCACACCGACTGGGCGTATGACTGATGACCCTACCCCCGTGTACTTAATACAGGAATCCGGATGTGGCCTAAGAGATCACATCTCACAGTCAAAGATTTGCACGGACTGTAGCGCCAACCGAAAAAAAATAATGATTTTAAATATATATATCATATCAGAAAGGGGGGCGGGGTGGCCGAATAGGCTAAAGCGTGTGCACAGCACCGCTAGTTGCTTGGCAACCGGATAACAGAGATTTGAGATGATATAAAAAGTACGAGTTCGTGTCCCGGTGCCGGAGGGGATTTTAAATTCCCCGCCCTCACCCCCCGGCCCGGGAAAATCCCGTATAGCCTATAAGGCGAGGTAGGGAAGAACAAAACAAAAACAAAAAAAAAATATATCAGAAATTGACTATTTTAAATTTTCACATTTGAAAGAATGGGGTGAATATTTTGACATAGCCCTAACTATCTGCTCAAAATTTGGAATTGAATTGCCTTATAACCTATTTAATTAATCGAGGCATACTTAGGCCATTAGAGAATAGAAAGAAATATATTTTTGAGCCCTCTTAAAAAAACAAAATGGTGGGCACCTTTGTAAGTTTAAAAAAAAATCTCTTAAAAAGTGGAGCCTGGGCTGGACATACAATTGAGGATTTGTGAGGACAGTAAACAAGTTAAAATCTGACAATTTAAAAAAAAATAATAATACTCTTGTCGGTAAAATATATATATATATATATATATATATTTAAGCATGCTATTCTTTGACAATAAATCTAGTATTAAATAAGGATCCTATTGTGGGGTCGAGGTAGACTGTCCCTCCAACCCCTCGAAATAAACCACTGCTTATTAGTTTAGACATTATATAATTATTTTGTAATTAATTTACCATTATAGATTCAATTTATTAATATTTATTTGAAGCATTATTTTGAAAACAATAAGAATAATATTATATTTTTTAGGCATTATTTTGCATTGCAATCGAACACTGGTGAACAATTTTTCATGTTTGCTGCTCTCTCTGCTTGGCTAATTAGAAAATGTGGTATATCATTCAAGCAGCCAGAAGAAGATGACGATCCTAACTCAACGATTGCCAGCATCCTTGATGCTTTAAGAAATCTTGTAAATAATTTATAAATTACTTACCAATTTGTGTTTCTATAGTTGAATTGATTTTTTTTATTATTATTATTTTAGGGAATTCCTGTCGACTTTTCTCCTAATAAGCTTAAAAAGGGCTCTGGTGTCTATGCTCTGCAGTGTTTAAACAGTCTTGTAGAGAAAGCCTTTACAGTTAAGAATATTACTTTTAAAAAGTAATGTTGAAATTCAGTCATTTTTATCAATAGTACTCAGAATTTACATTTAATTAATACCTCTTCTTGTATAGGCCGGTGCCTCCTGTTGAACAATTTGACTCTACCCAAACTTTTGATGAAGATGAAGACTTGGAGTTAGATATTGACAGAATTGAAGAAGATATGGCTCTGGGTGTGAGTGATGTCGATGAAGATAATGAACTGGATGTTGATGATCTTTACCTTGCTTCAGTAAGTTTTATCTCATTCCTCTTCACTTTTTTTCTGTTGAACTAACTTAAAAGTTCACATTCTTTAAAGTCTATTATTTTTATTATGAATTGTATAATTCCCCCTCCTCCTCCAAGAAATACTCTAATGCTTGATACGATTATTTAATTTTATAATATTTGTCTACAATTTTTTTCGCCAAAACCAAGTACTAATTTTTAATCATCTGCTATATACTGATTGTTGGGAGTTAGTTAATCTTTTACATAAGCATAAGTAAATTTTTGTGATTGGTATCAAGTTATAACAATAAAAATATGGTGCGTGCAACACGCAACTTTCACTTACCACTCTACTTTGAATAGAAATTATTTTCTGGCAATTTTCGACTATTATAAAAGTTTTGAAGTGCATTTTAAACAGGGTTAAAGCCTAAAGCTAACAAATTATTATGATAGATAACAAATCTTTAAGACCATTAAAATTACAAAAAGTCTATTTATTATACCAACAGTTGGCAATAAAAATATAATTACTCCATCTGCTTTTATAAAACACATAACTTCAGTCTTTGAGCTTTTCAGTTGACAGAATGACTAACTAAATTTCAACATTTTTGAGTAATGTAATTTTAGTAATATTTGAAAGAAAGAAAGTAAATTTTACTCTGGGACATTCAGTCCCCGCAGAATAGCTATAATGAACAAAGAAATGACAGTTGTCTGGCGATTATGAATAATTAAATGATAAATAAAAATAAATTAATTTACAAAGTTGTCTAACCTTAATATTAAAATAAAAAACTTTTAATTTTTTTATAATATTACTAATTTTTGATATTAAAAATAAAGACACTGTAGTAAATGTATGATCTTGAAGTAGTCATATGAATTTAAAGATGAATACATATGGATGAATTCACATATACAAATAAGCAATATGACCTATACATAGATATCTGCAAGATATCTGTATAGTGTAGCTGACATCTCTAAAGTACAAAATAACTTTATTTTACATATATTTGGAAGATTGATTACTGCAGAGATGGAAAAATAAATTGGGTTTAAATGAGGTTGAGGATGAGGATTTCCGTATAGAGGTTGGTAGGGAATTCCAAAACGAGGTAGCACGTATGGGGAAGGATTTTTTAAAGGAAACAGTTCTATGAGAAGGAATAAATAAATTTTAGGATTGGGATCTTGTGTTGAGCGAATGAACAGAGGAACAAGGAGTAAAGAAATCAAGAAGGTAAGAAGGTTTTTTTGTTTAAAAGATTTGGAAAAGGAATACACCTAGGAAATATTGCCGTCAGAAAACTGGATAGAGCCACTTCAACTCGGCATAGCAACTGGATACGTGGGGACTCCAAGTATAAATCTAATGAAACAATTCATTAGCGTCTTTTATCTGATCTCAAGCTCACCAGTGTACAAGACAGCCATAATCGATGTGAGGGAAAATGAGAGAGGACACTAAGAGCTGATGGATTTTAAGGGGCATAGAGTCACGGAATCTCAGGAACTGTTTGAGTGTAGCAATGAACTTTCAGATAATTTGGGAAACGTGATTATTCCTTCGTAAGGTTTCTTATGGAAGTGTGAAAACGTATGGGTATCCCATTGAGGTAGAGTAGAGGATACTAAGAAATGATCAGATGCTTGGATCCAATGAGAATGGCTTTGGTCTTCTCAACATTCAATTATAAATCATTGTTCGCTGCCAGGTATTAATACTGTCAATGTCTTCTTGAAGCCTTCGGATCTCCTCAAGCATCTCGGTAGGATGGAAGGAAAGGTAGATTTGAAGATCGTCTGCGTATAAATGGTGTTGTGAGGGATGGATGGAATCAGGAAGGTCATTAATATAGATGGAGAAAAGAGTTGGGGAGAGCGAAGATCCCTGAGGAACATCACAAGTTAGTAAGAGAGGGAAGGAAGGAGTTTTATTGAGAATGGTGACTGTTAGGAATCTTTGATACAAAAAAAAAAGAATGTAAAAACCACTTTAGAGCACTGAAAACAGACATATGATGTAGTATAAGACCACTGGTTTGCTTCTTAAATAACTGATAATGTTAGCATAATCCATCATGTTCACAACTAAACCAATGTAACCTGTAGCTTCAAAAATTCAAGAGGAAGGTATTGTTCTAGAGGTACAAACATACATATTCTAATCAGAGTGGAAAGGCTGACATTCATTCTGTGGGTCTGCTGCAAAATAAATTTCAATCAGACTCTGATGGGTTTTAACGATTGCCACTGGACTCAAGAATGTCGAAGCAGGAAACGCCTCTATATGCCCCCTTGCCATCATGTCCTAAGCTCTGGCTTATAATGCTGGGTAAACCTAACTCGGAAGGCTGATTTTTTTCTTGAAAATGAGATTTGTAGTCCTTAAAGCTGTGGCAGATGCTTCATGGGTCTGTTTAACACTCAAAGAAGAAGTGCATGGCAATATTAGTTGATATATCAAGAAGTTGAAGCCGAATCCGTAACACATTGTACCCATAGAATATCATAATATTAAGAATCAGCCATGGTGGTTAATCTTTTTAAGTTTCATATTTTCACTTCACTAAAAATACAAAACTTATTGATAAAATGGGTTATTTTGAGTTTAATAATTTATTAATGTTTAAACTCTACTTTTATAATAAATAATTTTTTTTTTAAATAACCTTGATAAACAATATGAAATTTAACCTATTTGACTCCTTGAATTTTATAATGAAATTTGATCAATAACAGGCTTTTATGGAGACAACAAGAGCAGAAGAAATAATCGAAACTGATGTCACAGCAGAAGCCTGGAATTTGGAACTTGAGAAGGTCGTTCCAATGCTCAAAGTTTCAATAAAATCAAGTTAGTGTGAGCTTCAACAATCACTTCCTGGAGCACTGTGCACTCTTTACTTGATATTGTTTTTAGCACTTTATTTTTTTAATTTATGTATCTCGAGCGAGTTGTGTATTAGAATCTTCTGATTATTAATTGTAGTCTTCATAATTGGTATCGATTTAAACTGTTCTGTTATTGTAATTTTTTCATTTATTTCAGATAATACAGATTGGAGGTCTCACCTAGAATTGATGAAGCACCATCAGTCTGAAATTCATCAGATTTCCGGGACAGTTTCATCAGAATTGAAAAAGTTTGGTTATGAAATTGAAGAAACGATGAGAAAAGTTTCCAAGAGAGAAAAACTACTCAACAGTCAGTTCGAGCAGCTCCTTTCGCAATATAGGACTCTCCAGGTTATTCGACTCTTAAAATATTTATATTATTTGATATTCATATTAATGGGATAGTATTCGTTTGTTTAAAATGTTTTTAATACTGTCTTGATATGTTTATAATTCTATTCTTTCATTTCGTATTTAAAGCAATTTGTAATTTATTCATCCATGAAGATTAGGTTATAACAACAAAAATGCAAAAAGTCTCAATTTTTTCTGATACATATTTGCAAAGATAATTAATTAGCATTAAAGAAAAGTGGTGGAACTACAGTAGAAGTGTGGTGATTAAGCTATGCCATGGCCTGCCAGCTCCTGGCCTTTAGCATTGATTATATTTTACTTTTTAGCTGAGAATAGTTTTTCTAGTTTCGAAATTTCCATATACAGCAAATATCTTTCAGTTTTTTCTCCCACTCCATCGTTTCTCAAAACTTTAGTTTATAATGTATTTTATCATATTTTAGATATGCTTTTTTATAAAGTAGAGCTGAGAGAAATTTAAGAGTATCGTGTTTAGCAACTCTACACTTCACACTACACTGGACTTAGGCCACTCCCCCAATCACCACCACACCTCTGAGATGCGCTGTTATTTCAAGCTTTTTGCTATTTATGAACCTTTTTTTTTTTAATTATTTTAAAAATGATATATGCTACTTTTAATTCATTGTTTTTAGGAGGAGTTGTCTTTAGTGAATGATAAATATAGAGAAGTTAATGTAGGAGTTGTTGAAAGGCAGAAAATACTTAATCAGATTTCTGAAAATTTAGAATCAACCAAGCAAGAAATGGAAGAAAGAGGAGCTACTATGTCTGATGGATGTAAGTTATTTATTCTGTTTAGTCTGCCATCGAATCGAGTTATATTTGATACGATATAACTCTGGAGCCAATTAAGTCTCAGTCACTAATTTTGTTCCATATGCCCTTATTAAAAAGGTTTTATAAAATGTAAAAGTTTCATCATTTTGCAATCAGTTCCTTTTATTATATTCAAATTCAAATCTAGCCGAAAATGACTTCTGGCCATTTTTGAAAATTCATATCTCCTAAAGGACAAGGTTTTCAAGATATAAATTTCATCAGCAAGTAGTACACTCATACGACTACAACATATAAAAAAATTAAAGTTGAGGCTCTTTTCGTTATTACATTATTGCTGGGCTAAATGTCTCATTTTATATTAGTTTTAATTTTATAACTGTCAATTTTTTTAACAACTTTTCTCACTATTTATGAGATATATTGTTAGAACAAAAAAATAGAGTAAAACATTATAATAATTTTAGTTTTTGATAAAAGGACAAGGTTTTCAAGATTGACATTTCTTCAGCAAGAAGTACAGTGGTAGGACTACATATGAAGAAAAAATTAAAGCTGGGGCTTTCTTTATTACATTTTTGCAGCCCTAAAAGTCACTTTTTCATCTATTTTCATGATTTTTTTAAAATCACTTTCCTTTATTTTAGATGGTGTTTTGATCAACAGAAGTGTAGAAAAAAATACTCAAAATTGTTTCAGTTTTTCTTTTGGCTTGATATCTACAAAATAACCAGATCTACTGGCATTTTCCCGAAACACCTTTTCAGACTGTGAGCCCTAAACATTTTTTAACTATGGCTTTGAACTCTCAAATAAATATGGAATAACCGGTAAACAAATTATAACAACCAAATATGTTGAGCAACAAAATTAATTCAAATTGGGTGCTTATTTAAAATAAAAATTGATTTTTGAAATATAATAAAGCTTTGCATAATGGAGGGTCTATCACATTATTTTAGTTATGTTTCTGTTATCATTATTTATTCTATCTTAAAATATTTTATTTAATTAATTTCTTCTTTTGGAAATTTCTCTAAAATATTTCTATCATCATTTACTTTAATATTTATATATTATTTTATTTAATATATTTTATATATTTATATAATTATATAATTATATAATTAATATTTATATATTATATATAATATTTATATATATATTAATATCAGTCTGGCCTGAGACCTGGCCTGAGACCTGACCTGGTGTGTACATCGGTGTAATTCGTTCATATAATCTCTCAGTTTACTTCAATTTAATTTTCAGTTCAGTTAAGTTCAGTTTTTTTTTTTCTCTTCTCTTTTTTAAAAAAACACTATTATTAATCACGCTATTAAGTGTCGGATCTTCACACCAATCGGAGTAAAGAAAGCGCAGCGAGATTGATAGAGTTCTGGGAGCAACGAGCTGGTAGGCGTCTACTAATCCTAACAGCATTAGACCAGCATTAGACGTTGTTTACTACCGTCAACAGTCCTGGTATTTATTTATATTTTAATTGCGAAGTAATTCTCATTAATAAATTTAAAAAATGGTGCAGTGTAATATTTGCAACAACTCTATCGCACGCGAAGATAAGAACAATATACACTGCGTTAAGTGTAAAATAATTTTTCATGGTAGGTGCGTCAACCTTACTGATAAAGACTCGGAAGCATTAAAAATAATTAAAAAAACATGGGTTTGCTCTAACTGCGAACAGGTGAAAAAACAAAATAACGAGCCGTCCCCCTCAGAAATACTTGCGGCAGTAAACCGTTTAGACGCTACCGTGAACGAAGATATAAAAAACATGAAAACAGCACTAGATAAATACGGAGAGCTCAGTTTTGAACTAAACGAAAGACTGACGAAGATTGAAAAACATCTGGAAGGTCAAGCTAAAAAATTTGAGGAGATACTATTAGAAAATAAAGCACTCAAATCCCGAGTGGGCGAATTAGAGGTTCGCTTGAATAACGCAGAGCAAGGACTATTGAGTAGATCACTGGAGATCCGCGGTATACCGGAGCGACCGGGCGAAACGCCCGCTGCTTTGGTGACCAGTATAGGAGCAAGCTTGGGGATCAGGCTTAGTGTGGAGGACCTGGACAACGTACATCGCCGCAGAAGCCGAAAAGATGACTCGCGACCACCGCCTGTTATCGCACGTTTTGTCAGGCAATCAATTAGAGATGACTTAATTACGAAAAGGAAAGTGAAGAGGGATTTCTCCACGCGGGATATCGGTTGGCAGGAAAATGACTGCCACCGAATTTATCTGGGTGAAGAGATGACTCGCACAAACAGACACCTCTATTGGTTAGCCCGGCAGAAGAGAGCGGCGGGAAAAATCAAATATACGTGGTTTGCTTCCGGAAAGGTGCGGTGTCGAAAAGAGGACGGACATAGAGTCATCCTGATAGAACAGGCCTCGGATCTAGATGTATTTGACTGACTACCTAGAAGCCGTCAACCCCTTAGCCTCATTAAAATAGTCTTACTTCTTCTCTTAGTGCTATCTCGACACCGTCACTCACCAATCTATTTATTTTTAAGTACATTCTCTTTATTTATTTTTAATGTTAATATTACTTTTTCTTTATTTAGTTTCATGTACGATAATCGCTTTTCTGTACTTTCTACTCGTTTTGTCTTCTCGCTACCAAACACTGACTGTTTCTCTCCAAATCCACTGTATGTCTAGTTCCCTAATCACATGTCAAGTTAACTCTCAATCACTTTCTGCCCATTATGACGAATTCCTGCAATACTTTACCCAAAACTTTTATCATATCATAGCAATATCCGAAACCTGGCTTAAACCTTATATTCCATCATCTTCAGTATCCTTGCCGAATTACATCCTGCTCCGTCATGACCGGGTAAACCGGACTGGCGGTGGAGTAGCCATGTTTGTCCACAATAGCCTAAAGACCCGAATCCTCGATTGCTCCCCATCTTCCGATCATCCTCATGTAGAATATCTCTTAGTAGAAATTCTCAGTAATATTTCTCCTATCCTTTACGCCGTGGTATATCGCCCTCCTCTCGTGCCATTTGACCCGTCCTTCGAATCAACTCTATTCAACTTCGTTCCCCTCTATCCCAGAATAATTATCTCCGGTGACCTCAATACCAATTTCCTCTCAAAATCCAATGACAAATCCTATTTAGAAAATCTGTTTTTCTCACTTCACCTATTCATCGTTCCTTTTTCCTCCACCTACCACACCAGCAGATCTGACACTTGGCTAGACTTCTACATCATCGACTCAGCACAAAACCTCCTCTCCGCCTCTCAAGTGCCAGTATCCTTTCTTTCATCTCATGATCTGATACAAATAACGTATAATATCTGCACTCCTCCAATCCATCCTCGAACTATCACTTTCCGCCAACTGGATACCCTTACTCGAGAAAAAATATTACCTGATCTAGTAACATTGGATTTAAATGGAATATATCATTGCTCCTCTGTCGACACCATGGTTGATATTCTCACCACCAATCTTCTCAATATACTCAATACCCACGCTCCTCTCAAAACCTCCACTTTCCGTCATCGTCCTGCTCCTTGGATGTGTCAGGAAATTAAGGATCTGCAGAAGAGACGCGACGCTGCACGCAGACGCTTCAGACGGACTAGGCTTGCAGATGATTATCAAATATTCAGAGTGCTTCGCAACACGACACAGACAAGGATCCGACAAGCGAAAGCGAACTACTTTCACGAAGCCCTTTCCTCAGCTCCTGATATCAAATCAAAATGGCTTCTACTTCGTAAGCTTTCCCTCTGTGAACCTTCTAGATCCCCTTCCTCAGTTTTCCCAATATCACCTGATGACCTAAACTCCCACTTTATATCGGTTTCCACCTCTTCGTTACCATCCCCTTCCGGCTTTTCTCCAGAGGTACCTTTTAACGACAATAATTTTTATTTTTCCGACATTTCTCCCACAGACCTTATTACCGTTATAATGAAATCCCGTTCCAATTCCGTAGGCCCAGATGGCATTCCTATCAAACTAATAAAATTATGTCTCCCTGAAATCCTCCCAGCACTCCTTTTCATCTACAATTTCTCCCTGCAGAATTCAATATTCCCGACCTCTTGGAAAAAAGCCATTGTCCTTCCTTTAAACAAAAAGCCTAATCCATCCTCTCCCGAAGATTTCCGCCCAATATCAATCCTTTCCAATCTTTCTAAACCCCTAGAAAAGTTAGTGCAATCCCAAGTTTCCAACTTCCTTGAACAATCCAACCAACTCGATCCTCTCCAATCTGGCTTCCGTCCTGGCTACTCTACACAATCTGCTCTGATTAAAATTACTAGTGATATCCAGACTGCAATAGATGACAAAAAACTAACCATACTTATACTTCTTGATTTCTCTAAAGCTTTCGATTCCATTATCCATTCCATCCTTTTCAACAAACTAAAATCATTATCCTTCTCCAAGAGTTCCATCTCTTGGTTCCAGTCTTTCCTCTCACAACGAACCCAAGCAGTTTCCATACCTAATCAACCTCTATCTGCCTACCTTCCTTTATCCTCAGGAGTTGCACAGGGTTCAAGCATGTCTCCTCTTCTTTTCAGTTCTTATATTAATGACCTAAATGATACAATTATCCATTGTTCCCACCACCTTTATGCCGACGATTCTCAAATCTATTTATCCTTTTCTCCCGCTGAGTTATTGGTGGCATTTGCCAAAATTCAAGAAGATTTAGATCGAATTAATGCCTGGGCCAACTTAAATGGATTAAGGCTAAATGCTGCCAAAACTCAGGCCATTCTCATTGGTTCCAAGCCCCTTCTTAGATCCCACACCAACTTTCCCTCACTCTATCTAAACAACCACCCCATCACCTTCTATCCCTTTGTTAAAAACTTAGGCTTTCTCATAGATCAAACCCTTTCCTGGAATCACCATATCTCTCATATATCCCGCCGTGCAATTTCTACCCTCAAACTATTCCATCACTTCCGCCATCTTCTACCCCAAAATACCCGTAGACTCCTAGTTTCCTCTCTCATCTTTCCCCACTTTGACTACAGCTGTGTGGTGTACGATGGCCTCTCGGTGGAACTGCGTGATAGACTCAAAAGACTTATGAATTGCTTCGTAAGATTTGTAATCGGAACCCCGAGACGCTCCCGTGTCTCCCACCACTACACTGAGTTAGGGTGGCTCTTCCCCTCCTTAAGAAGACAATATTTCCTTGGCACTTTCCTTTATCAAATCATTACCGATCATCGTCCTTCTTATGCCTACAACCTTCTCCAATTTAAGTCCTCAATCCATTCACTCACTACAAGATCCCGACCCTCCGACCTATACATCCCTTCTCATAGATCTGCCTCATTCCAAAATTCCTTTATAGCCCGCTCTGTCAACTTTTGGAATTCCCTCCCGATCAAAATTCGACATGCCCCTTCCCTGTACACATTCAAAAACCTCCTATTCCAATTCCTGTTCCAAAAACAGTCAGATACCAGCTAACGATTAATATTATATATGTATTGTGTAGCAATCATATAATCATAACACTTGGTAAGAGATAGTACATGCATTTCCTACTATCGACGTAGGAATTTCAATACATACATTTTTTTGTATTTTTTTTTTATTCAATTATAAGTAACTGTTTATTTTCATATATATATTCAAGTAAAGTTTTTTTTTTTTTATGAAATGAACTCATTGTATCTCTTTTTCGTTCTTCATTTCTCAAAGTGTATGTTTATGTTGTTCAACCCTTAAATATAATTTTGTTCATAGTTCAAATGATTCGTTCATAGTTTTAATTGTTTTATTCATAATTTTAAATGCTCTGTACATAGTTTTATCTGTATTGTATATAGCTTGTGCACCTAAGGTTTTCTTTACTTTTTATTTTATTTTATCAATTTTATTTATTGTTTCAACGTTCAGGCCAGTAATATTCTATTATTTTGTACATTATTGTTATTCTGAAGGGACTTAGTCCCAGAATAAAGTTTTTTTTCTATCTATCTATCTATCTATTTAAATATAACCCTAACTTTAAATTTTTCAATTGCAGCTCCTTTGGTCCATATTAAAAAAGCCATAAAAGACATTAAGAAGGAAATCTGTGAGATGGACATAAGCATCGCAGTTGCTGAACATTCCATAGTAGAAACTAAGTTGAGAGAGAAATCATTACAGACCCATCTTGTGAGGACATCTGGAATGAACTGAATTTATTAGTTGTAAATATGACGTAACTGCTTTAATTTGAATGATCTGTATATTTTATATTAGACTTTAGTAAGATTAAAAAATAGAATTTATTAAATTTGCTCAATGAGGATAAAATAAATTTGAGGATATGGAAATAATTGGCACCTATGAGAGATTGTCATAGCTTGCTCATTCAAATAAATAATTAAACAGTTGAACATTTTGTATTAGTTCTTCAGATAGCATTGTGGATTCTCCATGTTTTTGAGCACGTATTCTGATTATTGTAAGAAAATGTAATTTTTATGAATAAACATATATACAAAAATGTTCAACATTGTTTTGCAACAAAAAATACTGGACTTTTTTTAAATTCCATTATAATATATATATCAGGAGTCTCTAGTTGGTGTCAGCGAAAGTACACTGAACCATTGCTACTCAGTTCTCTTCCTTCAAAAATCAACTAAACAGTTATAACTTTGTATAACCTTTTATCATTTAATGCATTAACGAGTAGCAAATAAGTACTCTGACATTTAAAACCATAACGTTTTCCTCCAAAAATTAGCGGATTTGGAACAGTGTAAAATACAACCTTTATGCCGTGTTATAGAAGGATTCGGTATAGATTTCTGAAAGTTTTTTATTACTCTTTGATATACATTTTGATATTATAATGCTACAGGCTGTATGTTCAGTGGAAGTCTTGGGCTAACCAAAAATTTAAAATTAAATATTTGATATTTTATTAAAAATATAACATGATAAGCAATTTATATTGATGATACAATTGTTTTAAAATTTAAAAATAAAAACAAAAGCTACAATTGCTGATATGGTATAGAATTTATTATCGACTATATTATAATTAATAAAGATCTATTTGAATAGTATTACATTATGTTTTATCTATCTTGATTAATGAAAACAAATATTGCCTGTTTAATGTATTCCTGAAATTATGGGTTTACCAATTATCTTTTCAACTCTAAAATTATAATTATATATGTTTTTGATTTATATTATATTGAAGAACGAGTCAATTATTTTTTCTACTGCTTGCTGGGATCTTTCTCCTGCTTGACATAGTCCACCACAAGCTCTAGTCCAATAACTGCTGGCAGGGGTTCCTTGCTGGATTCCCTGACCGATTTGTAAATCTCTGTTATTCTTGGCAGTAATCTAGAAGTAGACAGCCTGTTTGGAGAATCTTCTACCATGCCAGATCCAGGCTGCGGGGCAGCGAATGCTGAACCTGTCAAAACAGTAGACAAATTATTTTTAGTTTCATATTAAATTACATGAATTCATTACATATAATGTTTTATTTCCCATTATTTTATTACATAGCCAATATTTTGTTTTTGGTTTGTTATCATTGACCGTAAGTAGAGTTCAGATTTTCATGTTTTTGCACATTTGCATGTAACTACTTCAAACATTAATGTCCATCCCTCTCATGATAAATAGAATAACATAATGAAATTTAATATTGCATGTTTTGTCCTTTTTGAACTAAATTGCAGAATGATTTTTTCTGCACAACATATTTGCCTGGTTCAGAAGATAAAAATCTGGTGCATCACACAATTTTCACTTACCACCCTCTTCTTAGCAGAAATAAGTATTTAAGATAAAGGAAAGTAAAAGTAAAAATTATAGAGGGTACGAAACGTTATTAAAAACAATTAATTACCATATGTTTTTCATAGCCGTCTAATGTATTATATTTATTTTGTTTGACACTATCCATTTCCTTTTAAAACGGTATATTTCAATTGTTTATTTGATTATAATAAATATTTAATTGTCATGATATATTCTAAGTCCAACCAGAAGATAAAGAAGGCCACTATATTTATTTATATTTCTTTGTGGGTATTTTTAATTGTTTTTGACGTAACAGTATATATACAAATTTTTTGGCAAAAAGGACAAAGTAGCCCACTTGCTTCACTAGTTCCCCTACTAGTACCAGTATATACAAATTATTATTTTTATATCACTGTGATCTATGCATTATATATATATAATATATATATAAGGTTAGATATATATATATATATATATAAGGTTAGATAATCTTTCCATCTAATAATAGGTTAATTAAACAAAAATGATTTTTGTATGTTTAAAATGTTTTTGGAATGCATTTTGGGATTTTCCAATTTTGTATATTTTTAGTCTTTTAATGCACATTTTTCAGTTATTCACTGCTTGAAAATCTGGTCTCCAGCCAAAGTATTGGGAATAAAGAACCCTCTAATAAAGTAAGTATTGCTATATTAAAAATAATTAACCTTGAATTTGTCTTACCAACTAGACAAGAAAACTGTCTGATTATCAAGGCTGTTCGGTTATTGAACTTAAAAACTTATTTTTTTATATTTTATGATTGGAAATAGTTTAGGAGTCTATATTTAAAAGTTTTAATTAACTGATTGATCTCATATAACTATAGCTTTTGACTCATTTATCAAAATTTCAATAATACTATATAATTCTATGTTGCACTCAACAACTTATGATAGTTACAATTAATTTAGATAAGTTAAAATGTAGAAATCACTTGGTTTATTAAATTAATTAATTAACAATTTTTGAATATTTTAAAATTGATATGCATAACTAAAACTATATTAAGGTTTAACAAAAAATTGATTTTAAAATGTTCCTAATAAAGGATTCTTGTAAATTGTATGGTGAATAGAAATAATGATATACAAACAATCATATAATCATATTTGGACAGAATTTCCAGTTTTTATATAAATTCCTGCACCCATTGACTGTTTATTAAGCTTTTTTTAATGGTGTAGAACTACTGAAAAGTGTTCATTCCAAACACAAATCCCTTCTCCTCAAGGATGTCCTAGCATACCTGGATGCTGAAAAGAGCCGTTTTATCTATCTCTTAAAGCGGAAATGATTATGTAACGTACCAGTGCCACAGCGAAGGCGCTTGACCGGTGGGGATGACGGAGGACTAGCCGCTCTCTTGGCCACAAGGTTTCTGAGGAGCTCGCTGAAGAAGAAGGAATGCGGGAGCCCCGTAGGAGAATAGAGGTAGGGCGGTGTGGCCGCCACCAGCCTGTAGACCAGCTCTCCTCCCCCCATCTCTCGCTCCGACATCGTTCAATACTCCATCTCCAATGGTTGTCCTATGTCTCTCAGCTTGCTGCAACAACTGAAAAGTTTCCAATACTTTATTAAGAGCTCACAAAGTTGAATTATCCTCTGTTATATACATATATTTGTAAATGCTAGGCAATCCATAAGTTTTTGTTTGATAATAAATAAGAAAGATACTTATTAATACTTGTAACTATAATATTGAGAATATAATTTTCTTATTCAAAAACATAGTTCCCTGACTGGGAACCAATAGTAATGAAATAGATTAAGATTGGTGATAGATTAAATTATATAGTTTCCAATCCATTCATGCCTAAGTTCTTTGTATAATAGTCAATTATATGTCAAACAAATATGTCTTAAACATCTTTACTTTAATATTTTTTCAATACTTATTTTAATCAATTCCAATTATTTTAACAAAACTACTCATTTACAAGATTAATTTCATCTTTATTTTAGAAATTCTATCAATGTATGTAATTCTATTAATTTTCTATGTTCTCTGTAATAACATAGAACATATAATAACATAGAGTATAGTACTAATTATAATTTACAATTCAATCATTTTCACATTTTTTATTCAAATTTAAGCAATATTCCCCCAGTCTCTCCTTTTTCACATTTTTTACAATTCTATTATTATTTTTTATTTGTTTTTGTTTATTCCAGATTTCGCAATCACATCCATTTTCACTATTCAAATAACTGTCAGCTACTATCTCCATTTTCATAATTCTCCACCACCACCATCTTCACAATTCCACTGAAGACATTTTCATCATTCCATGCATTTTCACAAATATATCATTTTTTTTTTCTTCAAGCAATTTTCATTGTTCCTTCAATTTTGGGAAATCTCATTTTCACGGGAGTGGTGTAGCTCAGTGGTAGGGCACTGATCTTCCAATGCTCAAGATCCGGGGTTCAAATCCCGATAGAAAAATTATTTATTCTGTTTCATCAGCCGTGGGGCGACCCTCCTGGGGCACACCCAGCCTCTATTAAATAACTAATTAAGGAGAAAATCTGGCGGTTGAGCGTGATCTCAGTCAAATCACCTCCTTGTACAACTGTTGACTAAGTGGTACTTTCTCTAAATAGTACTGAACCCAAGATCCTCCTGGGTTTTAGAGGTACTGGTTTTATCACTGTCACATGTCCTACTAATTTTTTAATTCGTATTATTTTTCCCAATTCAAGTAATCTCCAGTCTATCAATTTTTGTAACCCTTTTTAAACAATTCTCTTTAACAATTTAAGCATTCTCTTTGTTTTCGTTATTTTTTATTATTTTCATTTTATTTATTTATTTGCTTTCTCACTAGCAAAGATAGGTAGGTGTTTAAAAATTAGTGCAAGAGGTTAAAAATATTTGTGCTCAGAACCTAAAAATATTCACCCGCGTTTTGCGTTGCAAAGATCAAATGTGTGTGTTTGTAGTCAAATCGATGCGACGGGCATATCACCTACTACCGTTTATTCGATTTTCGTGAAATGTTCAGGAATTGTGTGGGTTACTGTCTAGATTGTCCTACATAAATTACATCTAATACTTTCCCTTACGCACCCGCAAATATATTTAATTAGATATGCCAATATTTCAGAAATGGCTTGTTCGATTTGGCTCAATGATGCTCTATGTACCAAATAAATTGAAGCTTCCGACTTTTGAACAGATTCATTAAAATTTCACCACAAAAACTCTTTGTTGTTGCTTGATAACAGATTATGTAGGTTAGACTCTATCTCAAAACTCAAATAACATACTTTACCAAGTCGTAGAAATTTCGAATTTTGGTCAATGTTGTGAGTTTGCCTCATTTGCCCCACTATGCCACAGTTTTAATGCCTGGTTTACTTCGAATAATTAGTTTATCTCTTGTGCTGAGATTAGGCTTAAACTTGATTAACACAGGGACTTTTCCTTCCTTGAACAGTTTATTTTTTTTCCCTACAAACTTCGAAATTTTCCTAAAAGGAAATTTTTCACCGAAGTGAAAACCGTGCTGAGGAGACAAAGAGGATTAAGTAAGAAGAGCAAAAGGAAACTAAAAGACATTGCGGAGAGGTACATTTGGCTAAGTGGAGGCCGGCAGAGGTTGAGCAACAAAACAATATGAATGAGAAAGGACTCCTGTGACGAACACCGAGTGCCAGCGAGATTACAACCGCTTTGTCCTACCGTTCCTTTTAATATCCGCCTTTCTATCTCCCTGCTCTTTATTTAACAGCTTTTCTGTCTACC